TTGAAGTCCCCTGCTATGATTGTATTGCTATCGATTTCTCTTTTGAAGTCCTCCAGAAGATTTTTAATATATTTTGGTGCTCCTATATTGGGTGCATATATGTTTATCAAGGTTATATCTTCCTGTTGGAAAAATCCTTTCAATATTATGTAGTGGCCTTCTTTGACTCTAGTTACGGCCTTCATTTTGAAGTTTATTTTAACGGATATGAGTATTGCTACCCAGCTCTTTCTTCCTTTCCCTTTGCTTGGAAGATTTTTTTCCATCCCTTCACTTTCAATCTATGTGAGTCTTTTGTTGTGAGGTGGGTCTCTTGTAAACAACATATAGATGAGTCATGGTTTCTTATCCAATCAGCTACTCTGTGTCTTTTTATGGGAGCATTCAATCCATTTACATTTAAGGTGAGTATTGATATGTACTTATTTATTGTCATTTTTGTTTAGTGTGATTCTATTTTTCTTCCCATTTCTCCTGCTAATTACAGCAGTCTTTTTAACATTTCTTGCAGTGCTGGTTTGGTGCTAATGTATTCCCTTAACCTTTTTTTGTCTTGGAAGCTCTTCATTTGACCGTCTATTTTGAATGATAACCTTGCTGGGTAGAGTGCTCTTGGATTCAAATCCTTGTTTTTCATGACCTTGATTACTTCATGACATTCCCTTCTGGCCTGTAGTGTTTCTTGTGACAAGTCAGCTGAGAGCCTTATGGGGTTTCCTTTATAGGTAACCTGTTGCTTCTCTCTTGCTGCTTTTTGGATTCTCTCTTTGTCATTAATTTTTGGCAGTTTGATTACTATGTGTCTTGGTGTGGGCCTGTTTGGGTTCTTCTTACTTGGGGCTCTCTGTGCTTCTTGAACTTGAATGCCTTCTTCCTTCACCAAATTAGGGAAATTTTCTGTCACTATTTCTTTTAATATATTCTGTAACCCTTGCTCATTTTCTTCTTCTTCAGGGACTCCTATGATGCGAATATTATTTCATTTCCAGTTGTCCCAGAGTTTTCTTAAGCTGTCTTCCTGTTTTTTTAAATCGTTTTTTTCCTTTTGGTTTTCTGATTGGTTGATTTTTTTCTACCCTGTCTTCTAATTCAGTGATCTGGTCCTCAGCTTCCCCTAGACTGCTTTTTAGACTTTCCAATGTGTTTTTCATTTTTGATATGTCATTCTTCATTTCTTCTTGGTGGTTTTTAATTTCCAACTGGTTGATTTTCAACATTTCTATGTCTTTATTCATGGTGCTCATGTCCTTACAAATGCTGTTGAGCTTCCTCAACATCATGGCTCTAAATTCTATTTCTGTTAACTTGCTTAACTTCACCTCAGTTATCTCATCTTCGATAGAGGTCTCTTGTTCTTTCATTTGGATTTATTTCTGTTTTTCACCATTTTGGCTATTACCGTGGGCTTTTGAGTCTGCCAAATTTTCCCTGTGGGTGTTGGTGTTCTGCTGTTTGTGGCTCCCTCTCCTGGGTTTGGATGAGCCAGGGAGGACCCACTTTAAACACCACTGTCAAGTCTTTACTTTTGTGGTTAGTGTTGCTATCCCGGGAATGGTAGTTATCCTCTAGCTTTTTTTTGCCTGGAGGCTATTTGTAGTTGTCACCTGAAGAACCCTGGTTTCTGAGTTGCCTGAAAAACTCCCTCAGGTGCTCAGTGTAAGAGGTTTTCCTGAGGGTGGGGAAGCTGCTGGTTGTGAATGGGCCTCAATTAGCATGTCAATGACCAGCAAGTGGGGTTGAATCTCTGAGGGAGGGGCTGCCACCTCTCCCCAGGGCCCTGGGAAGGAGTAAAATGCCCACAGTCCTTATTTGTAGTTGTCACCTGAAGAACCCTGGTTTCTGAGTTGCCTGAAAAACTCCCTCAGGTGCTCAGTGTAAGAGGTTTTCCTGAGGGTGGGGAAGCTGCTGGTTGTGAATGGGCCTCAATTAGCATTTCAATGACCAGCAGGTGGGGTTGAATCTCTGAGGGAGGGGCTGCCACCTCTCCCCAGGGCCCTGGGAAGGAGTAAAATGCCCACAGTCCTGTGTGGCTGCACTCATCAAAAGCTCTGAGCACCCTCCAAAACCTGAGTGTCCCCACACAGTTCCAGTCCAGTCTGCGTTCCCTCTGCCAGAACCCAAGGTGAGTGGCTGCTGCCAATTTCACCTGTGTCTAGACTCTGCGTCATGGAGCCGCCTGGGACTTTTAACCTGAGGGCGCTGTTTCCAGCCAAGGGCGGCCCTGGCTGTGGCACCAGCCAAGGGCGTGGCACCACAGGACTAAGCCTTGGTAGTGAGACACTGCCGAGGTAGCAGCAACTTCCACCAGAGTCCCCTGGTCCCAGTGAGTCTGAGTGGCACCAGCCAAGAGCTTAGCAGGCAGCAAAATTCGCAGGACTCAGGTGGGGTCACAGCCGAGGAGGCAGCAGCAGCTTCCCGCCGAGTCTCCTGGTTCCAGCCAAGTCTGCTGGTCCCAGCCCAGGCCGCTGTGGACCGTGGGCTCCCAGCCCCCTCTCGCATCCTCGCAAGCCTACCAGGATTGAGTTGGTGTCCCTGGTCATGTGGTCCTCCAAGGTGTCTTTTGGTTGCCCCTTCCTGACGAATTGTCTTTATTCTGTTGTCAATCCAGTTTGGTCCTGGGAGATGGTCTGTGTAGCTTCCATGCACTCCGCCGCCATTTTTCTTCCTCCCAGTAGTATTTCTGATTAGAAATCAGCTGACAGTCTTATGGGAGCTTACTTAGGTAAATACGTGTCTTTTTCTTGCAGCTTTTAAGATTCTCTCTTTGTCCTTAACCTTTGCCATTTTAATTACGATTTGTCTTCATGTGATCCTTTTTGGGTTCCTCTTGTTTAGGACTCTTTGCACTTCCTGTACTAGGGTGTTTTTTCAGTCATTATTTCTTCAAATAGGTTCTTGAATCTTTGTTCTCTCTCTCTTCCCCATTGATGCAGATGTTGTTAAGCTCCATGTTATCTCAAATGTTCCTTAAACTATCCTCATTTTAAAAATTATTTTTTTCTTTTTGCTACTCTGATTGGGTGTTTTCTGCTACCTTGCTTTCCAAGTAATTGATTTGATCCTCTGTGTCATTCAACCTGCTGTTTATTCCTTCTAGAATATTCTGCATTACAGATATTGTATTTTTCATTTATGACTTGTTCTTTCTAATAGTTTCTATTCTTATTTTATGCTTGCTATCTCTTTTTGAAGTTCTCACTAAGTTCCTTGAACTTCTGTATAAACATTTTTTTGAACTCTATGTCTGGTAAATTGCTCACCTCCATTTCTTTTAGCTCTTTTCCTGGAGAGTTCTCCTGTTCTTTCATTTGGGGCATGTTTCTTTGTCTTCCCACTTTGGCTGCCTCTTTGTGTTTGTTTCTATGTAATTATTATATATGTTATGACTCCCAGTCTTGGTAGGGTGGTTATGTAGTAGGTGTCCTATGGGACCCAGTGTTGCAGTGTCCTTGATGACCTGATCTGGGTGCTCCAGAAATGTCCCCTGTTTGTGTTATGTGGGCCCACCTGTTGTAATTGAGTCTTGATTGCTATTGGCTCATTTGTCTGTGGGGTCAACCCTCAGGCTGGCTGACTGTGAGGATCTACCCCCAACCACAGTGTACAGCTGCTGTGCAGGTACTGACCACACAGAGCAGAATTAGCCTTAGCAGAGTCTGGTGTCTCACAAGATCTCCCTATGGATATGCTGCTTGTGACATTAATTGAATCTTGTTCTGCTGTTGTCTGAAGCTAGCCACTGGGTGTGTAGGTTTTGGGGCCTTTTGTTATGGACCCTGGTGCAGACCAATATCAGGCTCTGCCCATGACTGGCCCTAGACAACCTGCTTGGAGCTACAAAGTGATCCACAATTTGTGGCTGCCTCTGCTGGGCCTGGGTGTGTGAAAGGAGGACCAAACTGCATATCAAGGCTGGGTGTGGCTTCTTCTTGTTTATAAGACTTCTGTTCAGCTAGTCTTCAGTTGGTTATTCAGGTTGATAGTTCTATATTTTAGTTGTAATTCCAGTTTGGTACTGGGAGGAGGTGAGTGTAAGTAATATCCACCTATTCTGCCCCCATCTTGGATACTCTTTTGGTTATTTTTCATAGTTTCTATTTCTCTGCTGCAATGTCTCATTGTTTCATTTGTTTTGAGCATATTTTCCTTTACCTCACTGAGCATAATTATTAGTTGCTTTAAAATTTTTGCGTACCATTTCTAATATCTGGGTCATCAACACTGGTCTTTATTTTCTTCTTATGTTGAGTAATTTGGAATTGTATCCTGGACATTGTGAATGTTACATTGTGAAGATTATGGAGTATGATATATTCCTTTGAGGAATGTTGATTTTGTTTTGTTGTTTTAGCAAGTTACTAACTTGGTAGGACTCAAATGGAAAACCCCAACTCTTTGGCATCAACTCAAACTCAGTTCAATTCTCTCATTTTTAGCTGGGCTGCTTTGAATCTGCACTTAGCGTATGTTTCAGGAACTGGGCAAAGATTTGGGAGTTCTTTCTTCCTCTCCCTTTCTAGGTTTTTCCTCTCACTTTCCAGTGGCTGTGGTTGCCCTGACTCTGTCTTCTGGTTCTTTAGGTCAGTAAACTACAGGTTTTCTTTGAAGTTCAGTTTTCCCTACTTGGTAACAACGGTACCCAACAATTAGACTAAAACCTTAAAAATGGGAAGCACACCATTCCCATCTTCCAAATTTCAACCCTCCTTTAGAATCTGCCTGGTTCCTACCCTCACTCTTCAATACTCTCAGATAGTTGTTTTTTAAATATAGTTATTTATAAGAAGTTTGACCTGGTAAGAGCTTGTTCAACTCTTGTAGAAGCAGAATTTTCCAACCCTTTAAGTCCCTGGTAATTCAGGTAAATAATGCAGATAAATCACCTGCTACTTTAGATGAATCAGCGAAGTTGATTAGAGAGAAACAATAAACTAGCACCTACAGCCTGAATTTTATCCTTTCTCCTGTTTCAGCACTGTTTTTGATGTCTTTTTGTACAGCATGCCAGCCTGGGTATTACGGGCCAGACTGTAAGCTCAAGTGCAGGTGCACCAATGGGGAGATCTGCGACCGGTTCCAAGGATGCCTCTGCTCTCCAGAACGCCAAGGGCTCCAGTGTGAGAGAGAAGGTAAAGCCAGGTAACACTGTAGTCAGAGCCATGTTCAGCACGTCTGAACCAAGCTTTGCTGGTATTATTCTTGCCCCAGTAGCCCAAGATTCTCAAACCACTTCTGTTTCATCTACAAGTTGGGATGGATCCCAAGTATTAAAGGACAGTTTTCTGATTCTTTTCTATGGGCCCTTATGCTAGCGCTCATCATTTTTTTTTTTTTTTCCTAGAAATAAACCATGTACTTTTTGTAGCACATTAAGTGATAACTGAACAGCTTACTGCCTGCCTCTTCTCCCTTCTGTAGGACCAGGCTTTTCTGTAGATATGCACAACAGGGAAAAATACTTTTGAGGGATTTAGACAAAGGATATTAATTAATTTACTTTTATTTTTTAAAACTATGTTTTTATTGATTTAGAGAGAGAAGAAGAAGAGAGAGAGAGAAAGAAACATCGGTGTGTGAGAGAGAGATTTCATCGATCAGCTGCTTCTTGCAAACCCCCTACTGGAGATCGAGCCTGCAATCTGGGGGTATTCCCTGACTGGGAACCAACCCAGTGACCCCTTGGTGCATGGGCTGAGCTCAGCCAATGAGCCACACTAGCCAGGGCAAAGAATATTTTTTAAAAAAGATATAAAATAATAGAAAATATTACCCTCAAAATAAAATGTTAAATAATTCTAGTTCATAAATGACCATAGAGAAGAGGTCAGCAAACACTGACCCACAAACCATATCTTTGTTGAGATATAATTTTTATACCTTGAAGTTTATTCCTTTAAAGTATACAATTCAATGGTTTTTACTATATTGATGGAGTTGTGCCGCCATTGCCATAATCTAATGTTAGCATATTTGCATCATAGTAAAAGAAATCCTATACCTGTTAGCGGTAACTTCCATTCTTCCCTCCTTCCAGCCTCTGGTGACTATTAATTTAATTTCTATCTGTGCAAAGTTGTTTATTCTTGACAGTTTATATATTGTAAATGAGATCATACAATATGTGGTCTTTTTATGGCTGGCTTCTTTCATTTATCATACTGTTTTTGAGGTTTATCTATGTTATAGCATGTATCAGTACTTGATTCCTTTTAAAAAAAAAATCATTTATTTTTGTTACAGATGTTTCTCCTTTTACCCCCATTGACACCCTCCTCCCCACTGCTGCCCCCTTTTCACAGTATTGTTGTCTGTGTCCATTGGTTATGCATATATGCATATAAGTTATTTGGTTTATATCCCTCTCCCCCTTTCTCTGGAAAGACAAATATCATATGATCTCACTTATTTGTTGAACATAATGAAAAAAAAAAAGCTGGTGAACAAAATAGATCCAGAGAGACACAGAAGTAGGGATGATACTGACAAACTTCATTCTTTTTCAATTGCTCCACCATCTGTTGTCATAAAAAAATTTTATTGGAACACAGCCACACCCATCTGTTTACAATATATTGTGTATGGCCACTTTTACACAAGTTCAATAGTTACCACAGAGAACTTATAACTTGCAAAGCTAAAAATACTCTCTGGTCCTTTACAGAAAAAGTTTGCTAATCCCTGCCCCAGAATATACTTTCTAAATTGAAAGAAGCATATTTTCAAAATTTGAAAATAATACACATATATTACTTCCTCAGGCAAATAAATAGAAATCTTATAGAAAGAAACACACACCCGGTGAATTCTACAGTCGTGATAAGACATAAATATCCTTTACTCTGTGAATTTTAAAAACAGAACATTGGGGGAAATACCAGCAGTTGTTTTTTCAAAGGCTTTAGCTTGTCAGCTTTATACTTTCTCTTCTTTCCCCAGCATTTGGACGTTGTTACAGGGCAGGAATCTGGGAGGGTCTAGGAAGGGAAGGAAATGCTTCGGGGATATCAGAGGAATAGATTAAAAATGGACAACTTACAAGCTCTAGGATTTGAATTTTCTATTTTACTCCTTCCTTTCTATTCTAAGGGTGATGTTGCAAAAAGTGTGAATCTCAGGCCTATATCCAGACCCTAAGCTTCCAGAGAGCAGCCCCCTTTCCCTGACTGACACCCTCCACCCTCCACCTTCACTTCCATCCAGCTGCGGAAAATGCACAGGGACAGTGAAGAAAGAAATGGTTTAAAAGTGTCAAAGCACTTTTTTTTTTTTTTTTTAACATTTCTACATGAATAACTACTTCAGCTAAAAAATGCGATACATTTTCTAATCACAATCTCTCCAAGTCTACAGATATATCAAGGACTTACGGTTGTAGTCATGGACGCTTTTCTGTCCTGCTCCACGCTCTTGACCTGTTACATTATAGGCCTGGGACATACCTTCTCCCGCCACCAGTATGGAATAGCACACAAGTGACTACCGCTCTTGGGGCACCTGCATCTCCTAGAGAAGAAAGTGTTGGACCGTCTTCAACCATGTCTCACATTTAGTTACAAGTGGTCCAAGGTTCTCTAAGACCCTATAGCTTAGAATAAAATTGTTATATTTCAGGATTATTCATTCTCTGCTCTACAGATATTAGGCAAAGAATCCTGATATTTTCGTTGAAACCAGAGGCATTTTTTCTTCTTTCAATTTTAGAAGTAACATTTTTAATTTGTCTGTTGACAGTAAATTGATTTTAGGACCGGTCATATGCCACTTTACTTCTTGGATGTAATCTGACTGTTGTTAATCATCTGCCACTTGCTGACTTCCCAGCCAATGACACATCTTGCATATATCAAAACTGACGGTCATGGTGTTGACCAGCAATTTCATGGGGTTGTTTGCTCAATGGAAGAATTCATTTTTGTTTTTGCTTTTGTTCTTGTAAAAATTCTCTTAAAAGGCAAGAAAGAGGCTGAAAAGTGAAGGGAGATGTGGCCCCGTTGATCATTTTGATATTGAGACTGTGCATCCTAGATCTATTGAGGTAGCTCAGTGTCACAGTGAACAGTGTGTACTCTGGATTCATAAAAACCTGAGCTGGAACCTGGGCTTTGAGCCTCCCTCTTGTGATCTATAAAATGGGGACCACAATAGGACCCACCTCACAAGTTTATTAATAATAATAAAACAATATAATATTTGGAAAGTTCTTTCCTGGGCATGACCTGCTAAATGGTAGCTACTATTATTATTGCTATTGCTGTTGTGTTAAGATTTCACAGTGCTGTTTTCTTCATTCAGGCAGGCCAAGGATGACCCCAAAGATAGAGGATTTGCCAGATAACATAGAAGTAAACAGTGGTAAATTTAACCCCATCTGCAAAGCATCTGGCTGGCCACTACCTGCTAATGAAGAAATGACGCTGGTGAAGCCAGATGGGACAGTGCTCCATGTAAGTTATTCTTAACCTGCCCTCCTAACAGGACTCGGCGCTTTCAGTACTGTAATCACCCAGCCTAAGGCTAGATTCCGCTGAGGGCTTGCATCCTCCTAGGCTAGTGTATTGTTAGCTTTGACTCCAGATAGACCTGTGCCCATATCTGCAGTTCAGAAACCATGATCTACAGAATCCCTTAGGGCTGAATGCATTTCGTGGGTCTCCCTCCTGGTCCCGCTGCCCTCAGTGCTGGTGGTGCTCACCACTGGTTAGGGCTCGATGACACAGTTCTTCTTTGCTGGGAATGATCAAGCTCCCTTTTCCAAACATTTCCCTTTTCTCCTCTCAACATCCCAAATTTATCTGTGTCACAAATGATCCTCAAGAAGTTGGTGTATTTTCTTAGCTAAACATTTTCTTTTCTTAGCCACGGATTTTAAAAGTTATCTTTTATGTTTTTCAAAGATGACTGAAAATCAACTTGACAGGAAGGCAGATCCAGGTGACCTCTTGGGGACAGGATATGTATGTATGTAGAACATTCCATTCCCAATGTCCACACATCAGATGTTCCCAATTCTGCTCAAACCACCCGTTAAGTAGTGGAAGCCAACGGACAGCTTCCCAAATCTTGCTGGCCTTTCCACAAGTTCATGGAAGCCCCAGCTACCATCTAGTGAGGGCCAACCATACTATATCCATCTTCTTACTTAACATTTCTGTCCCCTTTTTGCAGAAGTGGGAACTGGCCGGGTGAAGTTAAGTAACTAAAGAACTGGCCCTAAGTGGCAGCGCTGGTCTGTGAACTCAAGGCACATGTGTCTTCAGGGCCCTGGCTTTCCCACACCACCACACTTGACAGCCCCTCAAAGCCTTTAGGGAGACAGCATGTCCTTGCACCCACCATCGCTGTTTCAGACTATAAAGGAGCAAATGTTAGAGGAACAATGGACTGGCTCTAGCTCTGTAGTTTCTTCCGGTCAAGCCTTCGCTTGCCAACCACTCTTGCTTGCGGGGATGGTTGGAGACCCACAGGTGCCCTCCAGTCCTTTAAAAAATAAAAAATAAAAGGAATTAGACTGCTTACTTGTAACTATTTACCCCACACGCCCAAACACACAAATACAACAGCAGGATCTGTGAGGGCGTCAATCCAATATAAACTTTCAGGGCTACTACAATAGCTTTGGAAATAAGCCAATGATTATACAAGCATTGCATTGAACTTCTTAATCTCTCCTAGAAAACTTCTTATTAAACAATGAGATGGGGTCAGTGTTATGAACCTTTGTGTTTACAGCTCCCTAGAAGCTTTTATTTTTTTGTATTTGACCTTTCCAGCCAAAAGACTTTAACCATACGGGTCATCTGTCAGTGGCCACCTTCACCATCCACCGGATCCAGCCCCCTGACTCAGGAGTCTGGGTCTGCAGTGTGAACACCGTGGCGGGGATGGTGGAAAAGCCTTTCAACATTTCTGTTAAAGGTAGGCTCCGTCTTCCAGAGGCAGAGCTTGTGTCCTCGATGTGCTTTGTTTATGTTTCTCTGGGTACTGCTTCTAGATAGAAATGTTATCAAACCACTAAAATGTCTTTTGGATATTTTCCAGGATACTAAGCCTTTAAAATTTTTTATGTGCATGACAATGGAAAGGAAGGATTAAGTATATAACCTTTGGGGTCATATAGCCCTGGGATTGATTTTCGTCCCTAATAGATAGTAAATGGGTGTGTGGCCCCGGGCGAATGAATTGAACCTCTCTGAGTCATTCTTGATTTGTAAAATGAAGCTTCGTTTATCTACCTCTCAGGGTTATTGTGAAGATTTATTAGGTATATAAAACACTTCAAATTGTGTCTGGTACAAAACGTCTGGCTGTGTTTCTATTTCATAAAAAGTTTCATCATTGTTGTGACTTTATTATCATTGTGACTTCCTATTCATTATCATAGAGAACCATTTGGATACATTTTGAAGACTGTGCTATATAATTACCATGAATGACTTATTTTCGCATGTTTAGTGTTGTATTTCTCCTGCTACAAATTTGTATCTCAAAATTCTACCTGGGTGGATGTACATTTGTAGTCTGAGAAGAAAGAAAGTGAGGGTAAATCCAAGTTAGCTTGGCTGGGGTATATATATATATACAACAAAAAGTTTAAATTTGGAGGTTACTTATGAGTCCATTAGACAAAAACACCTAGCAGTCTATATTCTTGGACACACAGTGAGCTGACTGCCTCACCACTTCATCTTATTTACTATTTATAAGAAACTTATGAAATAGATATTGTCCCCACTATCCCAGTCAGGAAACAGGTTCAGAAGGTTTAGTGAACTTGTCGAAGGTAGTCTATCTGCTAAGCTACAAATCTGAACTGTGAACTTGGGTCTCCTGACTCTAAACCCTGCACCATTTTGCTCTGAGTCTCTTTTATTACAGACGAGGAAGCAAGCTGACCAAGGTTGATTTCTATTTGATTAGGAATTATTACTTTATTACTTGATTAGGAATCTTTGGGAGAACTGAGGGGTAATTTTTATAAATGAAATTAATGTAAATACCTAGAACATAATCTTTTTTTTTTAAAGATCAATCACAGAAACAACATAAATAGAGTAGAGCCTTATAGATTTGGATTCTTTGCCCTGAGAATTTATGTAAACCACCTCAGAATCCTCAATATTTTTTTGATTACTGGAAAAATCCCAGATCTGTTTTATTCAGAATATTCACATGATCAAAATAATTTCTTCCATCTTGCATGTCCTTGGAAGAAAGGAAACAATATTCAGACAGGGCAACTTATATTATTTTTTAAGCTTCTTGGAATGTTTGTTATGCATGGAAAATAAGTAATAATGATTAAAAACACAAACCATGTTGCTGAGATTCAGGAGAGTTTTATTTTTTTTAATGAGAGACCCAGCGCATGACGTCAACGCATAGACGCATTTCTAGTTCTAGATCACTGCCATATTGATTGGCATTCATAAAATGGAAATAGTCATTAGGTCAATTAATCAGTGTCTTTAACCACCGTGTTAAAAAATATAGACACTATGCTTTATTACCAGACTACAAGTTGATACGATGACTTTGGAAAACCCCTATGATCTAGCAATTTTGCTCCAAGGTATATGCTAAAAAGAAATGTGTGCAAATGTTCAAAACAGACATCTTCGAGAATGTTCCAAGCAGTTTTATTCGTAATAGCCCCAAACTGAAATGAACCCAAACACCCATAAATATCAGAAGGCATAAATACATTGCGGTACATTCCTATGTTATTACTTCGTTAGGGCTGCTGTAACCAGGTACCTCAGACTAGGGGCTTAAACAACAGAAATTGATTTTCTCACAGTTCTGGAGCCTGGAAGTGCAAGATCAAGGTGCCGTCAGGGTTGGTTTCTTCTGAGGCCGCTGTCTTAGGCTTGTAGATAGTCTCCTTCTGTCTTCATATGGTCTTCCTTACGAACGCATGTGCACCCTAATTTAATCTTATGAGGACAACAGTCATATTGAATTAGGAACTGCTCTAATAACCTCATTTTAATTTAATTGCCTCCTAAAGGATGCTATTTCTATATACAGCTACATTCTGAGATGCTGGGAGTTAAGAACTACACATGAATTTTGGGGGAATGCAATTCAGCCATAACACCATACAGTGGAAAACTAAACAGCAATACAAAAAGAACCTCCCCTGGCCCTGGCCGGTTTGGCTCAGCAGTGAGAGCCTCAGCCTGTAGTTCAGAGACACCCGGGTTCGGTTCCCACTAAGAGCACGTACCTCAGTTGCAGTTTGTCCCCAGCCCTGATTGGGTCGTGCGGGAGGCAGCCACTCAATGTGTCCCTTTCATGTTGACGATTCTGTCTCTCTCTCTCTTCCTCTCTCCTTCCCACACTATCTGAAGAAAAAATGGAAAAATATCCTTGGATGAGGATTAAAAAAAAAGAGAGAGAGACCCTCTCCTGGCCAGTTTGGCTTAGCAGTTAGAGCATCGGCCTGCAGACCAAAGAGTCACAGTTTGATTCTTAGTCAAGGGCACGTACCTCAGTGGCATGTTCAGTCCCTGGTCCCAGCCAAGATGTGTGCAGGAGGCAACCAATCAATGTGTCTCTCTCACATCGATGTTTCTCGCTCTCTCTCTCTCTCTTTATCTCTCCCCCTCTCTCCCTCTCTTCCACTCTCTAAAAATCTAGAAATCAATGGAAAAATATCCTCAGGTGAGGATTAACAACAACAAAGAACCATTTTCTGCCACACCATGGATGATTCTCATAGACCTAATAATTGGCAAAAGAAAGTACATGTTTTATGATTCTATTTATATGGTTAAAGAACAGGCAAAACTAATCTATAGTCGTAGAAGTCAGGATACTAGTTCCCCATTGACTGAGAAGGGTGCTTGGTGCTTTCGAGTCGGGGGTGGGGCTGGAAATGTTCTCTGTCTTGATATGGGTAATGGTTACGTGGGTGTGTGCACAGGTAAGGCTCTTGAGCTAAACACACTTAAGATTTTTGCATGTAACAATATGTATATATCTATAAAAATAATTAAAAGAGAAAAACAAAAGGATAAATTACTAAGAGGAAACTTGTGGAGCCATTTTTTTACCCTTGCGAAATGATCTCTTTTACAAGAGACTGGCACTCTTGTCTACAAAAAAATGTGCATTTGGACTATTTAAACAAACATGCAGTCCTATGTGACCATACAAAGAGAGCATGACGTCATGGATGAATTCACTCACTTTTTTTAGAGTGCTCCCTTCAGACAGGGATCTAAGAAAATGTGTATCAGACTTGTCTGACTGAACCCTGGCATAGTCCAGCCAGGGCACTCCACTCAAGGAGGCCTCTTCCTGGCTTTATTATCCTGACCTTGGGAGCTTACTCCTCAGTCTTTAGTTAGTCAGGTTTTTTTGCTAAAGGACTATTATGGTCTAGGTTTGGGAATATAGCAATGAACAAGACAAGAAAAATAAAGCTCTCTCATCATGCAGCTTTCATTCCCATAGAGAGATATAAATAAGGAACAAGTAAATAAGTAAAAGTAGTTTGCTACGACGCTAAGTGCCATGGAAAGGACTAAAGCAGAAGTGGATGTAGAGAATTCTGGGGCAGGGCTGGAGGGGTGACTCATTTAATCTGAGGTGATGATACTGAGCAAAGACTTGAAGGTCATTCTTACGGGTAGTGAGTCAAACACTGAGACATAGAAGCAAAGTGAAATTATTGAGCATTGTTATGCCCCCTGAAATCTGAAAGAGTCTACATTATAAAATATGCACTCTCGTGAAGGAATATCACCCCAGTTACACATCTCTAAGAACGTGGGGCTAATGGAGCCACAGAGCTCACTGGGAATTCCGCTGACAAACCGTTGTTCAGCACCTGGCGAACAAGCTGACATGGTCTTTGACCTAATGAGGTTTAGAGTCTACTGCAGTGTTTTACAGCTTTGTTATCATTATCCACTAAGGAGTCCACTTAGAAATTTTATTCCAAAACTCTACTCCTGTCACCATAAAATGTTAACATTACAGATGTGTAATGTTATGTACTATGTACTATGGTTTTTTTGGAAGGGCACAAACCATAGTAATAGTTAAGATTTTTTTTTATTCCCCAAGAACCAATTTTTACCTCCTTGGTAGGGTGCTGTTGTCTCCCCTGAGAATACATGGTCTTCGAGATGGGGAGATTATTCTGGGTTATCTAGGTGGATCCACTCTAATCACATAGTCCTTAAAAGCAAATAACTATTCCTGGCTCTGGTCAGAAAGACATGTTACAGTGGAAGAAGGGTCAGAGCGATGCAACTTGTTGGCTTTGAAGATGGAGGAGGGGCCAGGAGCTAAGGAACGTAGGTAGTCTCTAGAAGCCAGAAAGAGCAAGGAGACATTGTCCTGTAGAGCCTCCGGATGGGAACACGGCCCTCCCAGCACCTTGATGTTAGCCCAGTGAGACCCTTGTCTGAACGCTAACCTCCGTAACTGTAAGATAACAATTTTGTGTTGTTTTCAGCACCCTCCCTCAGAGAGAGAGCGAGAGCAAGAATACATAGTCTAGTGGAAAGATTCATATTAAATAATCACACAAAATCACAAAAATAATAAAATCTGAAAATCACAGTGAAGCAAAAGTGTATGTTGTGCGAAAGCCTCACCGAGGCACGAGGATAGCCCTGTGGAGAAGCCACTCTGGAGGAGAGGGTTGGACGATGTAAGAGCTAACCAGAGAGTAATGGGAGGTGGGGCATCCCTTCCTGGAGAACATCTACAGAGAATCTAGACAAAAAGGAGCTTCAGTTCATCCTTGTTAGTTGGGTGAACTGAACATCGGTCAGTGGGACTGGAGGGTATTGGGTGCAGGAAGAGGAGTTGGAGAGGGAGCAGGGGCTCACCCGTGCAAGGCCTAGCAGGTCACAGTGTACATCTTCGGTTTATTCTACATGTAATGGAAATCCACTGAAAGGCCTTGAGCAGAGGCGTGCTCATTCGTTAAGAAAGCACTCTGCCTGTGGGTGGTGGGTTGGAGAGGCAAGAGCTACGTGGGGAGATCACAGATCGATGGTTGCATCGAATCCGGCAGAGTGCTCGAAGAGGGTGTTGTTGGAAATGTAAAGTCACCCTCTCCCCACCTAAGAACAATGATAAATCCCCAAATCTAAGAACTAATCTGATTCTGAAATTTTGTTTAGTTCTTCCAAAGCCCCAGAGTGCTCCAAATGTGATTAACACCGGACATAACTTTGCTGTCATCAACATCAGCTCTGAGCCGTACTTTGGGGATGGACCAATCAAATCCAAGAAGCTTCTCTACAAACCTGTCAATCATTATGAGGCATGGCGGCACATCCAAGGTAAGGGCTGGGCAGGAAAGACTCCAGCTGGAGGTGTGGCCCCAGGAAAGAAAATTTCCCCAAATGTACACATCCCTCTTTCCCATGGTGGTGACTGTAGCAGAGGGTTTTGTTTCAGAGTATTCAAGATGGAGTGTGGGGGACCTCTGAGTTCTGGGTCCAACTTCCTGAAAGTTGGGGTACACCATGGAACACAGAGCAGACCACATCAGGGGTGACTATCTATATCAGTACTTCTTTCTCAGGCATCTCTGGCTCTCCAGTCCTGTTTTTAATTCTGTCTTGGTTGGTCATGGTGAAAGATACATGTTTATGCCATAAATAGGATAACAGGAAATTCCAGGGTCTACTGGAAAGACAGAGACCTGATCTGCTTAAATTCGAGGGGCGATTGCTGCTGTTACATTGAGTTGTTTGTTCTTTTTCTCAGTTGAATCTTGCCCTGCCCTGCAGGCTCCTAACCCAGAGATTCTGAGAGGAACTTGGGCCTGAAAGTTACCGCTGTGGCAGACTGGAGTGCAGTGGCGGGGGGTGTGTGTGTGTGTTGGGGGGGGGGGCGGCGGGGTCCATGCTCCTCCCCCAACTTCCTGAAAGAAAAAAATAATTCCACAAAGTCTGATAAGATGGCAAACGTTCATAAAAACAGTTTACTGAATTAAATTGGTTTTGAAACACAAATTATTTGTTACATGATGAGGTATAATCACACTTTTTAAGAAAACAGAGCACTGTCTGTGGACCATGCTGCTCGACCTGTGCCATGGTGTCGAGAGACCGGCCACGTCACGCTGCGGGCCACACAGGTCCCTCCACCGACGTCTACTCTGCCTGCACCTGTGATTTTCTGGAGGGGAAAGGAAGTTACAAGAAAGGAGAGGAAAAGGAGGGTTTGGGGCTTAATAATGCTAGCTGTTGGGTATGTTGAATAAAGTGATGGTATTATTATTGAGCTCTCCACATTCTATTGCAGACTCAGCTGGAATTCAAAACCCCAGCAGTTTAGGGCTGACATTGGGATCGCTGTTTCCAGCATCAATGGCTAGGTCTGATTAGAAAGCAGCTTTGTAAAAAAAAAATATGCTGGTAATATTTTCATAGTCTCTTTTTACAAGTAGACACCCCCAAAATGGTCTTCTAAGGACTCTTAAACACAGCCCACTTTTTTTTTTAACTGACTGGGAATTTATCCCATGCTGAGGCAGAAGTCTGTCTTTGCAGGGTCTGTGGAGAAGGAGGCTGGTAGAGCCAACAGCTAAGGAGAAAGGCAGCAGGTACCAGGTGTGAACGGGGTCTGTGGACTCCAGAACCCTTCCTTTGTAATGACACGACCAGTTCAAACCCACTCTGCTGTCATTGTGAGCCAACCCTCAGAGCTCCTCCTCTTGGTAGCTTGCTTGCAATCACTGCATGTACTTGAAATCAGTCAAAATTAAATTACTTGATATAGCTCTAAATTGAGACCCCCCCAATCAGATCAGTATTTCATATAGTTGAAGAGTTGTGTGACTTTATGATTTTGCTCTACAAAGGAAAAGACTAGAGCAGGGTAAGAAGCACAGAGATCCTGGTATTAATGTACCCATCATAACCTGGAAAGGCCCCCAAAGAAAGAATTGCCTCCCCATTTCACTAAGACATTGTATTTTTAAAAGCCAAACAGTAGTTCCCATCACAATAACAACATTCCAGAGGAGGGAAGGTAAGAGAATGCCTATCTGAGTTTCCTGGACGTTGCCTCTTCCCAGTGACAAATGAGATTGTGACCCTCAACTATCTGGAACCTCGGACAGAATACGAGCTCTGCGTGCAGCTGATCCGGAGAGGAGAGGGCGGGGAGGGGCATCCCGGCCCCGTGAGGCGCTTCACCACGGCTTCCATCGGTCAGTCCCCCCGCGCGGCATTTACTCACCAGCCCGGTGGGAGGGGGAGGAAGGGGAAAGAGGAAGGAAGACCAGGAAGGGTGGCGGTGGGTGAGTGGGTGGGTGGGGATGGGGGTGGAAGAAGTTCGCTTTTGAATGGGTGGGAAAGTGACAGGAAGGGTGGCAATTTGGAGCCAAACCGGCCCTTTATTTGGGCTGCACTCTGCTCTGTGTCCCTGGGGCAGGGGGTGTGTGGCAATCCGCAGGACAGAGAAGGAAGCAGATGAGCCTTCAGGAAGGCAGAGACATCCCTCAGGGGTTAGGATTTACTTAGTAGCAACTGTGCTGGGCCTTGGCTGCTCAGATTTACCAAGAGTTTCCTGTTTCCATCTTAAGGGCCCAGGCCAGGCTCTTGCCATATACAGACTTCAGAAATCCCAGTTTATTTATTTTTAAGACTAATTTTTTATTGTTCAAAGTAATTCATGCACATAGTTAAGACATCAAATTAAATGAAAGGCTTTTATCTAAAGAACAGCAGCCCCGCCCCCCTCCCCAGTCCAGCTTCCTATGGGTAGCCACTTTCAGCGCCTTAAGCTATTTCTTACAGTCTGTACCTCCGTGTTTCTAAATCAGTGGTTCTCAAACATCATGTTCATCAGAGCCACCTGGAGAGCTTGCTAAAAGATTTCTGGGCCCCACCCCAGAGTGGCCGATTCCATACATTTGCGGGATGGAGCTCAAAAATTTGCCTTTCTAAAAGGTTTGCAGGTGCTGGTCCTGGGTCCGCACAAGCTCAGTGAGACATGTAACCATGTTGGTGAGTCAGAGTCAGTCACTGTCTACTGGCCTCATGTTGTGTTCATGGAAGAGAGGTTTCCGTGGGCTGCCTGGGGCCCCAGCTTTCTGCTGCTACCCCGGGGTCCACTGCAGCACTGAGTGACCACCCCTTGTTAAGCTTGTTTTCTAGTGTTTACTGTATATAACCATCTGTGACTCTCTCCTGGTCAGTTGTTTTATGGTTTCAAGTTCACACATGTTTAAATCATATTCCCTTAAAGCAGGGCTGGGAAACCTTTTCTTCTGCCCAGGGCCATGTGGATATTTATAGCATCACTCTCGGGCCATACAGAATTATCAACTTAAAAACTAGCCTGCTGTATTCGGTCAGGCCAATTTGTGAGGCGTGTGATGTTAGCTGGTATTGATTTCACCAGCTTTATATGGCCTGTGGGCCGGACGTTCTCCATCCCCGCCTTGAAGGGTGAGAATGACCATCTTCCCCATTTATAGAGAGAAAAGTAGAGTCTCAGTGTGGTGAATAACTTGCCCATGTACCTGAAGCATCACCACACTGGATATTCAGACTCAATATGTTTTGTGTCTCCAGTTATTATTTATTGTTTTGACCTAGGAGTTCAAAGCACCATTTCTTTATCCCACTTGATAAATTTTCGTAGTCCGTTTACTAACGATAGAAGGACATGGAGTGATTTAGTGAGAAACTAGGAAGAGCATCCAGTTCTCCTGCAGGGTCGTGCAGCCCTGACAGACAGAGACCCCCTCCAAGCCCCTCCCCCCCCATTGTTCCCACTTGACAGCAGCATCCTGAAAGGACCAGCTAGGACTGCAGAGCTACCCTGGTGCTTGCAGAAGCATTGCAGAAGTAAGAAATGTTTTCCCGGACACCGACCAGGTAGTGAGCACAAGAAACTAGCAGCAGCAGCTTTACATAAGTTAGATGATAACAGAACCTCTAGGATTGTAATCAAAGAGCTGCATGGTCAGAGTGACGCATCAGAGCTCAGCACTTGGAATATGTTCCAGCCAGGATGTATTCAGAGGTCTCTTGGAACATTTCAAAGTAGTTTTCAAGGGTAGGCGCGGAGGGAATTCTTGATGTTTCTTTTCCCATCGTTTCAATTTTGCTGAGGTTTGTGTTTTAGTCTATCAGGCAGTTGCACTGTTTATAATCGTGGAGGCCAGGAGGGGAGGGAAGAGAGCACATTCTGAACGCATGGTACAGAGGGCCGTAGGGAGGGGCGAAGGATAAGTCATGTTCCTGAAGGAAAGAGAAAAGGGAAATGGCCATTTATTGAGTTACTCCTCTGTACCAGGCATAGGCTTAGAAGGTTTATATGTGTGCTCCAAACATCACACTTTTGTCTGCTTGGTGATTAGAGCCTGTCTCACCACTCTGGGTGGCTTATTTTGGAACTTAACCTTTCAAGATGAGCAAAAGGAGTTGACATCACCTATCTCCATTTGCAAAGGTGTGGAGAAAGGACCAGGAAGAGCATTAGCATGATGCCAGGCAAACTGCAGGCCCTGCCTATGGGCTCTCCCTAGGCTACGAGCAGCCAGAGCGCAGGGAGAGCCCCTCCCCCAGTGGAGGGAGACACACCCTCCTACTCTCTCCTCACCAGCAGTTAGAGCAGTGTTTATCAACCTTTTCTTTTTTTTTTTTTTTTAAAGTATTGCCCCAAGGAAATTTTAGATATTTTTGTCCTTAGGAAAAATATTAATTTACTATTATTAATTTACTGTGAAAACACACAGATTCCTCCTCTGTTCACTGACACAAGATTAGACTTTTTAGGAACAAAGGAAGGGGAGATAGGAAGAGAGGGAGGTCATGCTAATAGAGCATCTAACACATTCTAAGCATTTTCACATCCATGATCTCAGTTCTTCCTCCTGCGTCTGGAAGATGGGTATTTTCATTTTGTGTTACATGGGAACTGAGACAGGTTGTGAGTTTTCTCAAGGTCACAAGACTAACATGGCATACCCTTGCCTCTGATTTCAAACCCATGTTGTTTCCATTCTGTGACCTCTCTGGTAGCCCAGGTTCTGTGGGTAGTTGTGGCCGAGCGGCGTGTGCCAGGAGCCCACACCTTCATGTGGCAGAGCAGGGCTGGGCCTGGTCCTGCCACCACAGCTGTGATCATGCCTGAGATTCTCCTTGTTAAGGGGAAGTAGTCCCCAAATGGCTTCAAAATGTGTTGCTCAAATGGTAAGAGAAACATTCACCTACAAACCCATAAACTCGGCAAATCCAGTGTTTTCATTTTTATCGGTTTCACCAATGGTAGACATGACTTTTACCAAGTTGCAATGAGACTTTTTCCTCATGTATTCTATTTTTATTGGGTTTCCATACTTATCTATTTTAATCCATTGGATGGCTATATCTTAATTTATTAAAGCATTTCCTGATTTTGAGCATTTAGGTTTCTTCCAATAGTTTACTATTATAAATAATGTTTTAATGAACATCTTCATGCACGCACATAGGTTTTCTCTTCCTTTGGATTACTTTTTTTTAGGGTAAATCCCTGGTAGTCAGATTATAGGATCAAAGTATGTATAATTTCTAGGGCTCTTGAAAAATATTCCCAAATTGTACTCCAAAGGGGTTGTATTTCTAAATTACAATTACCGAAACTACATATTAGAATTTTTTCAAGGTTTGCTATCTTGGAAGGGAAAGAATTGAGTGACTGCTAGCTTGTGTATATTTGATAGCATATGAAATTGTATATTATTCTGGGCGCCATGGTTATTCTGTAAGGCTGCCCTTTGGGGTTGTGTGTCACCTTCGCCCTATATAAAAATAATGATCTTTGTGGTTTCCCCCAGGTCTCCCTCCTCCAAAAGGTCTCATTCTCCTACCAAAAAGTCAGACCACTCTAAATTTGACCTGGCAACCAATATTTCCAAGCTCAGAAGATGAATTTTATGTTGAAATTGAGAGGAGGTCTGTGCACATGAATAGTGATCAGCAGAATATTAAAGTGCCAGGCAATTCGACATCAGTGCTGCTTAACAATTTACAGCCCAGGGAGAAGTACATAGTTCGAGCCAGAGTCAATACCAAGGCCCAGGGGGAATGGAGTGAAGACGTCACCGCTTGGACTCTTAGCAACAGTAAGTGACTCCTTCTGTCTCTCCTGAATGACTTTTGACTACTGTTATTTGGACTTATCGACCGTCACATCCAGACTGTTTCTTAGAAATCGTAACAGGCAGTTGGTTGTGAATGGAGGATCAGTTCCCTGCTCCAACGCACCAAGTCACCCTGCAACACACGAGAAAGCTCTGTGGAAATGGGCTGCAATAATTCAGGCAGGACTGTGCTGAAATTTACCTTCCCTTGGTATGGAGTGATGTCTTATATAAATTAATGATGTGAATACGATTTTCTAAGGCTCATCTAATCTGTTATAGGACAGCTTTCAGGATTATCATGTATCTGTAGCTACACAGCTGCCGATTAATTATACATGGGTCTTTCTTAGTCTTAAAAGCCAAATAACGTTGCTTGAAAAATATTCTTAACAGACAATTCTTGGAGCTACCATAAATATATTTGAAAGTAAGAATATGCCTTTTCTTTCAAAACATTTTGCAATTTAGGCATTTCTTAATTTCACATTGGTTATTTAAAATTAGTTGCAACTTCTTGGGTTTCTTTGTAGTGTTGAAAGTGTTTTCGTCATCAAGCAGAGAGTTCCACTGTAATTCATGGCGTGAGAACTGTGTCTGTGCATTTGGAGTCCTTGGAAAGGTTGGATATTTCTTGGCCACCCTAGCAACCACTGAAATCAGGATCATGTGGTCCCTTGCCCATCCCCAAAGTCCAAGACGGGCTCATTCTGCTGCCGGGTCCACTTCCTCAGCCACCAGCTCAGTGTTTCTCCAGCCGCTCTCTTCTTATATCAGCGGTGTGGACATCTCAACTGTGTTTAGGGATTCTCCATCATTTTTTAAAAATTCTGTGACATTTAAAAGTTAGAGAGAAGTGTGGAGAGTAATACAACAGATACATTCCTGCCACCCAGAATTAATAACTGCTAATATTTTGTCATATTTACTTTTAGCTTTTTTGTTGATTTGTGGAAATAAACAAGGAAGATATACCCAAAACCCCTCTGACCATTGTTTCTACTCTAATTCTATTCCCCTCTCCCCAGAGACAACCAAAATTACGAGTTTGTTATGTATCTTTCTATTCAATGTTGTATAATTTCAAAACATTATATCTAATTTCAATACATGATATCTATCCATCGTGTAGATATGCATTATTCCTTATCTTGCTTTTTTGAATAAACATTATTTTTATCTGTGCATGTCTATTTGCTTAGATCTGACATGCTTTTTTACCTTCTGCATAATAGTTTGTCATGAATATCATCTTATTTATTTCTTTTTTGCTAGACATTTTGATTTTCTTTTCTTTTTTACTATCGCAAACAAAAATGCAATGACCATCCTTATACATGTCTCCATGTACTAGGTGGGAGAGCTTTTCTAGGGAGCATGTCCAGAGAGGAATTGATTGGCTATTTCCCTCTAACGTGGCTATTCATACGACACGCAGGAGTATATGGACACACCTTTCCCTGTATCCATCTCTATACTCCTTAACTCTATCTGTATTGCTTGATATTGTCAGACTTTTTTATTTTGTCAATCTTAAAAGTAAAAAAAAAGTGCCTCACAGTTCATTTCAGTTTTCACTTCCTTGATAACTAGCAAGGGTAAGCATCTTTTCTTGGGCATTTTTTTTTTTTTTCCATTTAGATTTTCTCTTGTTTGATATATTTTGCCTGTTGGCTTGGTGGTCTTCTTTTACTGATTTGTTAAAATTGCTTATATAACTTGGATACTAATTTTGTTACATACATTGCAAATATATTTTCCTAATCTCTTTATTTTCTCCATGTTTGTGGTGTTTTTGTTTTTGCTTTTTTTTTTTTACCCTAAACACAGTTGACATGTAATCAGACCTGTTGATATTTGCCTTTGTGGTTTGTACTTTTTGTGTCTTGAAATTATTCCTTACCCCAAGGTCATACATAAAGTCTCTATTTTTTCTAGCAGTTGCAGTGTTTGTTTGTTTGTTTTTTGCATATTTAAGTCTTTAAGAAGATATAAGGATGCTATTTTGAGGTATAGTGTAAGTATTTTAGTCTTTTTAACTTCAATCGTATTTGTCTACGTATGGCAAGCCAGCGGTCTCAATGCCATATTGGGTACTCCCACTAGTGACTTGTGATGTCTTCTGTGTCTTACGCTGCATTCTCAGATTGGTTTTGCTTCTATTGCTGGGCACTCGGTTCTCTTCCATTGATCTCTGTGTTTGTTCCTGTACCATCTGCAACCTGTTTAAATTACTATAGATTTATTAAATGTTTTGATAACTGTAGGGTGAATCTTTATTTTCTTTTTCAAAGTTGTCTTAGATGTTCATTCACTATTCTATATAAAATTTACTCTCATTATAATTAATACTATCATGCCCGGCCGGTGTGGCTCAGTTGTTGAGCATTGACCCATGCTCCAAGAGGTGGCCGGTTCGATTCCCAGTCAGGACACATGCCCAGGTTGTGGGCCCGATCCCCAGTGGGGGGCATGCAGGAGGCGGCCAGTCAGTGTTCTCTCTCATCGATGTTTCTATCTTTCTCTCCCTCTCCCTTCCTCTCTCTCTAAAATCAATAAAGAAAATATATTTTTCAAAAAGAATTAATACTATCAAATCACATCATAATTATCATATTTATAAGGTTAAATGGAAACTAGTGAGCGGTCACTGAAAAGAGGACTGCCTGGTGTGGAGTTTGATGGGGTGGGTGGGTTATGCTGCCACTGGTGGGGATGCTGAGATTGGCAGGGCAGGGGGCGGGCCCACGGGGTAGGAGACTAGGGCAAGGAGGGTACGGATGGGAACATTTCTGTCTTAACTGACATAGTTGTTAGTATGCTATGTTGCCATTAGCTGACGTATATAGATTGTTCAGGAGTCAAATTAATGCATCTAGTTTAAACTTTATTTTGGTGTCCAGCCTAGCAATTCTACCTGGGCCAAGTAAGGAGTGAAATGAATTAGATTTGGCATATGTTAAAAAATACTAAATATACATAATGTGTTCCTGTGCATGTAAATGTAGAGTATCTCATTTAACACAATGCCTTTGTGAGGAAATGAGAATAGGAATTATCTATCATCAAATTTAACAAATAGAGAACCTGAGCCTCAGAGGAGGGTGACTGACTCAAGTTATACAGCTGGTAGGTAATGGGGTTAGGATGCTAACGAGCATTTCAGTTCTCTGTTTTGTTCATTTATTGTTGGTAAACCACACTACTCATTGGTCTCTTTGGATGAGCAACTTGCTGCTGCAAAACAAGGTTGGTTATGGAGAGTTTCCTTCAGCAATCACCCCACTTCTGTTTACAATCTTGTTAGCATTTCTTAGTGTTTTATTTTATTTTTAATTACAGTTTACATTAAGTATTATTTTATATTAGTTTCAGATGTATTGCATAGTTGTTAGACATGTTTATGATTTACAAAGTGATTCCCCTAATATCTCTAGTATACACCTGGCACCATACATAGTTATTACAATATTATTGACTATACAGTCGTCCCTCGCCACTTTGTGCTTCGACTTTTGTGGCTTCACTCTATTGCAGTTTTTTCAAATATATTCATTAAAAAGTTGATCGAACTGTGACAATGATACAGCATGCGCTCGGTTGTCTGAGTTTAGTATACACCCCTGTATAACAAATAAAAGTTAAAATTACTGTACCTATGGACTGTGGGCCTATGTATTCGAGCACCCCAGGAATCCTTCAACGCCAGGTGCAACCGCTCGAGTCTGGAACGGATTAACCGTGATCAATGAGAGACTACTGTATTCCCTGTACTGTTATTTTACATCCCAGTGACTATTTTGTAACTACCCATTTGTGCTTCTTAACCCCCTCACCTTTTCACTCAGTCCCGAGCCCCTTCCTCTGGCAACCATCAGTGTGTTACCTGCGTCTATGACTCTGTTCCTTTTGTGTTTGTCATTTATTTTGTTCTTTAGATTCCACATATTTGTCCTAAAGGGTTATTCTAGAGTCACTTGGAGAATCTGCTAAAATGTAGATTACTGGGCCCTTAATCTAAACCAGAGGTCCACTAAGGAGCTCAAGACTTCTATCAGGCATCAAATGGAAACTTTTGACTTCTAATTGGCACCAAAATTATATCTGTTACTCTTCTGGCAGGTGTCTGCAAGGCACTGCTTCTTAGAACACCACTGGTGTATGAACCTGAATTTCTTCTGAGGCACAACCACACTAATACTAAATATGTGCTTATAGTAATCAGAAAATGTTAATATTCCTAATACTCTGTAGTCCCTTGTGCGAAGGAAGGTTGTTTTATACTTTTGCAGAGATTTACAAAAAGCTTGGTACTGGATGCAAAGGAATTAAGACATAGTGTTGATTAATGCATTATGATTTTGGATAATTTATCACCTGTTCGACATAGAAAATAACAGATTTGGAAGGCTCAGAACCTACTGCCTACTTCTCCTAGATTGCCACAGCTACCCAAGGAGTAGGACCCGGGTAAACACCATCAGGGAAAGAGGAAATTTAACGTGAAGACAAAAACCTCTGAGAATATGAAATAGAATGTACATTAAGACATTTCTTGAAGGTTCTAATTTGCTTATAAGCCATAACTTTTATATGGAGTGAAATGGCCTGGGTCTGTTACCTGCTTACTGGGACCACTACAGGTGGAAATCTCAGTGTTTTCACCTCTAAGATCGGGGTAATTAAAACCTCAGCATTGGTTACCTGCCTGCTTGTGTGGTTATGAGGGTCAGGGTGCGCGTGCACGTGGAAGCACCTTGTAAGCAGCCTCACAAATGGAAGGCACACTCAACATCAAGGGCATGACCTGGGAGGTATTCTCTCCTGAGGCAAAGAGTTTCAGGTGTTGAGTCACGAGGTTCCCTTCCGGCCCGTCTGTCTGAAAGGGTTGGAGTGAGAGTGCAGCGGTGGTTCTGTGTGTCATCTTCACCCCTGGAAACCTCCACGCATGTCTCTCTCATCCTACCTACGATCCTAATGGCATACAATCTCTCTACTCAAATCCTTATAGCAGTTTGTTTACAAACTGCTTAACACATTTTCTTATGTGTACGTTGACGTGCTCCATAAATGCATTTAGGGCAAGGATAAGTCATATGTGACAGCGGCTAATTATAGACTATGGTATCATATTGCCAGGAGTTCAATCCTATTTCCTCTGCTTAATAGCTGTGTGACCTCGGCCAAGTCACTTAACCTCTCTGGGCCTCAATACTTATGGTAAGACTGTTATGAAGATGAAATGAGTTACTATGTAGAAGGGCCTATATACATGTCAGCTCTCACAATCTTTCTGTTCTCCCCCCAAATCAAGAACAGTGTGAGATTGGATTTTGGAGTAATGGAATTTCTGAGGCTCAATTTAGTGTGAAGATGACAAATATGTGATGTATGTTGTTATTTTCCCATTTGTGTTACTGCATCAAGTCTGCATAGAGTCACTACCAATGGTTTGGAATTATCATCTGAGAAAACACCTCTTAGCCATTCTTAGCTTAAGAGCTGACATTAACTCTCTCTCCAAAGCATAATAATCTAAGAGATGATAGTATATCTTAAGTGAAATATTATTTCGTGTGTGTGTGTGTGTTTTATTCCTAGTTCCCCCTCCTCAACCTGGAAACATCAAGATTTTCAACATAACAGACTCTTCAGCTGTGATTTCTTGGACAGTCATGGATGGTTATTCTATTTCTTCTATTATCATCCGTTACAAGGTTCAGGGCAAGAACGAAGACCAGCACATTGATGTGAAGATCAAGAATGTCACTATCACCCGGTATCAGCTCAAGGGCCTAGAGCCCCAAACATCTTACCAGGTGGACATTTTTGCAGAGAACAATATAGGGTCAAGCACCCCAAGCTTTTCTCATGAACTGACGACTCTCTCCAAATCTCAAGGTTGGTAGAGCGGACAGGATCTAGAATTATTTCTGGAGAGTATCATAAAAGCCCCACTGTCTTAAAACATTTACCCCATATTTGTGTCATGGGCCATAATTCATATGTCTTTTTTTTTTCTTTATTGATTTTAGAGAGAGAGGAAGGGGGGGAGAGATGGAAACATTAATAAGTGAGACCATTGATTGGTCGGCTCCTGCATGCCCCCAACTGGGGATTTGGCCCACAACCTGGGCATGTGCCCTGACTGGGAATCGAACTGGCGGCCTCTTGGTGCATGGGTCAATGCTCAACCACTGAGCCACACTAGCTGGGCAATTCATATGTCTTAATAGTTTTCACCATCTCTAACTAGGTCCTTAAAATGAAAAGGCCCTTGGGAAGGCTACCCTGTTGCTGCATTGTCTATTGTCAAACCTCAGACTGAATTAGCCTCTCAGCACTGCCCATCCAGCAACAGAAGTTCTGAGGAATGTGAGTTTGATTCTGTGCAGAGAGAAGAATGTGGAACCTGCCTGGTGGGGGCAGACCTGTGCGGTGCTTCTGGGGAGGCTCCAAGAACCACACTCCATTCTTTCTCAAAACGAGCTTCTCTTTTAGCTTGGATGACACTAGGCTGCTCTGAGTTTTCTTCTACTTTTTGGATCCAGCTTATTATGTCTATACGGCTGCCACTAACCCCTACCCCAGAGAGAGGAAGCTCTTTGAGATACAGCTATCTCAGAGGGCAGGGCACACTCCGTACAGCGTTTGTGATGGACGAAACCTGCTGAGTGTAACGAAATGGGCACGGTGGGGGCGGGAGGCAGGGGGACCGGCAGCAGGAGGACGCCCTCCCTCTGCCTTCATCCGAGATGGCCCTTCCTACGCCTCTGCATTCGCTACATGTGCAGGGGAACTGAGATCGAAGCAATGGTGACTTCTGAACATTTACAATTCAAACTAGAGTTTTAGTCTTACAGAAAATCTTATAGCACTAAAACCTTCTTGCTTCTCTTTGGGGTTGCCTAGGGCTTAAGAAATAAAATCAAACAAGCTATGTTTTCAGTGTTGATTCTTCAGAACATTTTTTGCAGTGTCCAAGGAGTGATGAATCTGCCAACCGTAGAAAATCACAGTTTTCCGGTCACATCCTTAACAAATGCATCATTTTTATCGTTGCGTGGGGTCATGCTCTACATGCTGTTTTTTTTTTTTTTTATAAAAGTACATTGAATTTAATTTTAGTTGCATTTGAATAAGGGACAGACGTGGAAGGATTAGACCTTTGTTTTTAACAGTTCATTTCGACTTAAGCCCTAAGCATAATAATTTCCCCCTCCTTCCCTTGTTCCTTTCTTCCTCCTTTCCTTTCTTCTATTGGTATACTCAGGTTTTTTCCATCTGCTGTTGAAAACGAGAAAAGAAAATCTTACTACAGACTCGAAGCTCTTAGCACCACAGAGCTTTTCTCAGTGGGAAGATGGTGCCGGGAGGGTTGGTCCCTTCCCAAAGCCACGCATCCGATGAGCTATTCCCAGTGCATTTGATAATGTGCATCTGCTCCAGCCTTTACTTGGAAGTAGAAGTTGAACAAATGACAACAATTAATGATTAGCACATTGCCATTTAAAATTTTTTTTTTTTTTTTTTTTTTTAAGGATCTTAAAACAACCCTATGAGTCAGACTCATCTCCACTGAGTTTCAGAAAATGCATGCATAGCCCTAGGTCACAGAGCAGTTAGGTGGCAGGGCTTGGGCTGCCTTCAGTCTTCTTCCACTGCGACTTCTCCACAGGTGGCCTTGGCCGCCCTCTGCGTACACTAACCCCTGCTTCTCCTGTGTCCCCTGCACAGGGCCGGCAGAGCTCGGAGGCGGGAAGATGCTGCTGATAGCCATCCTTGGCTCGGCGGGAATGACCTGCCTGACGGTGCTGTTGGCCTTTCTGATCATGCTGCAGCTGAAGAGGGCAAACGTCCAAAGGAGGATGGCCCAGGCCTTCCAAAACGTGGTAGTGTCTCTCCCCCTAGCTAATAGATGCAAGTCCACACACATGCATAACTTTCACTTTACAGATATACACCTGACAATTTGCTTGCAAATAGATCCCTTAGGCAGCTCCCATCTTCTCTTTGGCTTCCATTATTAAACGGGAGGAAACAGCATGGTGATGGAATTTCCTGTCCAAAATGGAACAATTTTGAGAGTGAAAAGGTTGCTTTAATAATTATGCAGGTTACCACGTGTAAGATAGGACTGTTACCCTACCGAAATGAGATGCGTGGTCATCCGAGTGGTAAGTCACCAGAGAGTGTGCTCTTGCAGTATAAAGAAGTGAACATGTTTGGTTGGGAACTGCACGAGGGTGAGCACACCTGTGTGATAGGAACGGTGTGCTGCACTACACACGTTTTCCCCACATTTGTCTGTTTCCAGTTCCCATCTCCTACTTCAGATATCTTCCTCAGTCCCACCAGACCTCATATACATAAGAGTGATATATACATGTGTATCTTCTATTCCTGTGCACCCTCCGATCTGCAGTCATAGTTCATGGTACTTGGCATGGCCTCTCTCTTTTATCAAGGAATTTTGATCAGTAGTAATGAGGTTTACAGAATCATACTTTACCAACAGGCATCCCATTGGAGTCCTTGGGTATACTATGGCCTGAACATAACTCTAGTTTGTGGTCTGAGATTCTGTAAAAGCAATGTGTACCCAACTTGATCATTTCTGTACATAAGCCATTGAGTTCAATTACATGTTCCCAGTGAGGTGTAGCTTGATGCACATTTGTCCCCAAGATGCCACTCAGAAGAGGGCAGGGAGGCTTTGTGATCTGACTGTGCTGGAGCTGGTTCAGCTCAGGCTGTCACTAGAGAGGAAGGACCAGCATGGGGTCGCCAGTGCTGGAGAGAGTCGTGATGTAGTCAGCAGCCACTTAAACTCAGGAGCAAAGGAGACCCTGTGTTGGGCTTCGCCCTAAGCCTCAGTCATTCTGGGGCCAAGTATGCTCCAGAGTGGGACTGAGAGAGTCTAAGCTTTACGATTAGTGGGAGGGAGGGAGGGAAGGAGAGAGAGAGAGAGACAAGAATGGACCAAGGGGATCCTAAGAAAGCTCTCACTGAGGCATACCCTGTGACTGTCCCAGAGAGAATCTTCAGGTCTTTTCAAGTGAGGACTGAATACTTGCTCATTCCACAGCAGAGTAGAAACTAAAGTGTGACTACCTTGGGGATGTGCCATGCCATGGCATATATGTCATATATGGCATATACTTCCCTTGCCCTCTGCAGACATTGTTAATCAATTGTAGCATGCTTCCCTGCAGGTATTACCAATCAATTGTGGCATTCTTCCCCTCGGAGGCCTGGAATTGTGCTCAGGCAGCTCTGTGGAGGGCCAGCTCATCAGAATTGGCCTGTTAGATAATTCTCCATTGTAGAGTTAGATACATTTCTTGTTTCACCTGGTATGGATACAACCTTAGAATTATGAAAAATCCTGACATAAAACCATTAAAAAAATATTTTCCAGAGGGAAGAGCCAGCTGTGCAGTTCAACTCAGGAACTCTGGCCCTGAACAGGAAGGCCAAGAACAACCCAGATCCTACCATTTATCCAGTGCTGGAGTGGAATGACATCAAATTTCAAGATGTGATTGGGGAGGGTAATTTTGGCCAGGTTCTCAAGGCGCGTATCAAGAAGGACGGGCTACGGATGGATGCTGCCATCAAAAGGATGAAAGGTCAGTGCGTGGCCAGATCGAGTCAGCGTTTCAGTAGGGTGGGGAGAGAACTTGACTTCCTGTTGAATCTTTCCTCTGTGGTCTTGCATTCTTTAAGCAAAACATTGGCACGAAGTCAGAGACGGCTGTTACGTGCAGCTGAAGGTGATGTTTCCTTTGAGGTCAGCCTGAGATGGGCTCAGGATGTAAACATGAAGGCATGAGCAATGTAAACACCACTGTCTTGATTCCTCGGGATGTGATAATACAGATTCCCTGTTATACCTGCCGACTCACAGGGAGCGTTAGTCTCTCGATGTAGTGGTTTTCAGAATTCAGTGGGCATCAGAATCACCTGGAAAACTGGTTTTAAAACAAACTCTCGGGCCCCACCCCACAGTTCCTGATTCAGTAAGTCTGGCGCAAGGCCAGAGAATCTGCATTGGCAATCAGTTCCCAAGGGACACTCCTGAGGAGGGTTTGGAGGCTACCCTTTGCAAACCACCGCCTTCACGGATTAGCAGCATCAGAATTCCTGGAGACGTTGTAAGAAGTGCAGGGACTTGAGATTCTCCCCCTCGGTCTCCTCTATTTCATTTCTGGGCTGGCACACTGGGATCTGTGTTCTTAAGCCTTCTCAGCGGTTCTGGGCACTTGAGTTTGAAAACCACTGATCTAAGATCACAAGAATGACAGTTTTCCCGCCGTGTTCATGTCCAGGCTGCTTGGGGCTTACCCCTTTAACAAGATGGGTAATAAGCGTCTTCTGAGAAAGCAGAGTGACGGGCTCCCTGCAGCCTCGCTGTCTTCTCTCCTGTGTGAGACGCAGTGTATAGATGAAGCTGCAGCCTCCGGCTGGGGCAGGGGTGTGTGAGAGCCGGAGGGTAGCTAACCATCGTTGCTGGGTTGCCCCCTAATAAGGCTCTCTACGGTCGCAATGGGTTTTCCTTCTTTGTGATGGCAGCGCTGAGCTCAGATGAGAACTGACTCAAGCTTGTTCAATCACGGCTGCTTTCGGTGTTGTTAGGGAACAAACCAAACAAACACCGAAGTGTTAACTATGCTCAGAGATGGTTGTGTTTCACTGAGCATGTGCACACACCCCCATGCTGAGCAGCCAGAAATGTGTTTTTCATTTCGCTGCCTTAGTCTGAGGGAGCATGGGGGCATGAAGGTTAGTGAGCGGAGAGAGGGGACAGGACCTTGTAAATCTGTTTTTATTGGGATCTGACCTGAGCAACGCTGTCTCTGTCATGCCCATGTGAAGAGGTAGAATAACTCAGCAGCACCAGGACACAGCGTCTGCAGGGGGAGTGATGAGTCCACACGAGGGGGGCCCCTCAGGTAAGGGGACAGTCCCGTTATGAGGAGCTGCACTTCTGAAACGCTCCCAAGGCACTGACCCGAGACTGCTGGGGTATGAACAGGGATCACCTGCTCGTGAGCCTTACAGGCACCTGAGCCCAAATGAAACGGGCCCATAATTTTCATGCACACGGACACCAGCACCCCTCTGTCATTTTTCTAAAAACCACGAGAGTACCCTGTCACTGGCTCGAGGCTGATCCGTTTGTGCACTGATCCAAGAGCCTCCGTGCAGCCCGTTGGTGCCTGGAGGCGCACCCTCTGATCCTAGTGCCGGTGGACGGACAGGACAGGGACGAATGCAAGTCTGTTCCCTGACTGCTAAGGAACTTCTGTAGAAATGTCACTGATTGGAGTTTTCCCAGGACTGTTCAGTGAGAAAGCAAGTTGAAAGCATTGAGAAAGTGAGCGGTGTGCATTCCTGGTGATGTTCCAATGAGACTTGGTCCTGTTCCTCAGCACATTTGTCTCTGGATGGTGGATGGAGCTGGAAGGTCTAGAGTCTAAAAGTGGAGGCAGCTCCATCACTACCAGGTCATTTCCTGGGGTGTTTTGACAGCTTCAACAAGAAAATTTTAGAGCAATGGTTCTCAGCCAGGGGTGATTTTGCCCCCTGGGGTGGGGGGGGGCTGCATTTAGCAATGTCGGGGCACATTTTCGTTGGGCTACTGGTATCTAGTGAATAGAGGCTAGACATGCTGCTAAACCCTCCTATGCACGAGACAACACAGAAGTGCCAGCCCAAAGCGCCAGCAGGCACAGTACCCTTCCTCACAATCTGACTTCTGTGCAGCTTTCCAGACCTATCGGCGGGCGAGTGTGCTTGATGGTCTCAGGGAGGAGGAGGGGTCAGTTCTTTCTGAACAGGAATAGGACAGGGATCATAACTCTTGACTTTTCCCCCCAGAATATGCCTCCAAAGACGACCACAGGGACTTCGCAGGAGAACTGGAGGTTCTCTGTAAACTTGGACATCACCCCAACATCATCAATCTGCTGGGAGCATGCGAACATCGTGGTGAGATGCTCTTTTCCTGTCTTTCCTGACAGATTGGTTCTTTAAACAGGCACATTTCATATTGAAATTAAGAAAGATAATAATCTTGCCCTGACCAGTTTGGCTCAGTGGTTACACTGTAGACCTGCAGACCCAAGGGTTGCGGGTTCAATTCCCTGCCAAGGGCTCGTACCTGGGTTGTAGATCCAATCCCCGGTCCAGGGTTGTGAGGGAGGCAACCAATCGATGTGGACACATCAATGTTTCTCTCTCTCTTTCTGTCCCTCCCTTCCTTCCACTCTATCTAGAAAAACAAAAGAATGAGCCCTGGCCGGTTTGGCTCAGCAGTTAGAGCGTCGGCCTGCGGTCCAGAGAGACCCAGGTTCGGTTCCCGCTGAGGGCACGTACCTCGGTTGTGGTTTGTCCCAGGCCCTGGCTGGGTCGTGTGGGTGGCAGCCACTCGATGTGTCCCTTTCACGTGGATGCTTCTCTCTCTCTCTCTCTCTCTCCCTCTCTCTCTCTCCCTCTCTCTCCTCCTCCTCCTCCTCCCCCCTCCCACTCTATCTGAACAAAAAATGGAAAAATGTCCTCTGGTGAGCATAAAAAAACAAAAACAAACAAACAAACAAAAAAAAGATATGAATATTACCTATTTTCTTAAGTCACAGTTTTGATCTGAAAGGCTAGTCTCACATCTAGGTTGTGCCAAGGTTTGGCATCTTTTTGGAGGTAGGACCTAAGGCTGATGACCCTTTGCCCTCTGAGGTGGCTCCGTCACTTCTGCCCAAAGGCATTCCTGCTCCTCCACACGCCCGAGCCCCGGTGCAGAGGCTGCTCAGCGCCCCTGCCGGGATCCCGCAGCACCTGCAGGAGACAGGTGCCCTGCTCCCCTTAGTCACCTGTCCTCTCCTTTCCCACCAAACCCAAGCCACTGGCATTCTGAATGTTAAGTCCACGAATGCCAACACGCTGTAATACGTAAGCACTTGATAATACTTAGGGTAAAACAATAATAGTAAACTTATATCTGGCAGAACTTTGTTATTCACAACTTGTACAATTTCCCGTAGTTACGTCGGACAACTATGTGGCCCATGCTCTTCAAGTTCAGCTTACATTATTAATTCAAATATGTATTGGGTACTTCTATTGATACTGAATGTATTATTAATTTAAGTATCTATTGAGAGATTTACCTCTGTGTGCTGCCTGGGTTTGTAGTTCAGAATCTATGCTTAAACTAAATTTCTCGTGGAAAAGTTTTCTCCTGCAAAAAAGCTCCACAAAGTAATAATTTACAAACTTGACAACCTCTTGTTGACTTCGCAGCGCAAAACCAACAATAGAAAAGAGACTGTTTCCTTTTCCTCAATTTATTAAACTAAAAATACTGGTGAGGCAGACACTGTATCATTCTGCAGTCCAATAAGGGTGTAATTCTGAAAGTCAGATCATGAAGTAATGACATTTATTTTTGAGCCACTTCCTGAAAACAGTAATCAGCATAGGGCAGCGTAAATGAAAGTTAGACAATATAACAACCAACAGGAGAAAAAAAACACAAAAACACGCATCTTTGAAAATTTTGCTCTGTCCTCATGTTAGGATATAACTGGTTGGCTCTTAGGTTTATGTTTCAATGAAGAAGTGAGAGAGCACATTCACCCAGGAACTGTGTGTGCCTTTCCTCAGACTGCAACAGCACTCAGTGCTAGAAGGTTTTTTTTGTTTTGTTTTTTATCTTGGCCAGAATTTCAATGTCTTAGAATATCTTTTAAATTCAAAAACATTCAGCACTTTTAAATGGTATATAAAATAATTCGCCTTTAAAAGATAGTAAAACCACTCTACTTTTCACTAGCTCTAAAGATCAGTGTTTTCATGAAAAAAATTACTCTTTATTAGAAAAAAAACACAACAATTTGGAATAAAAATAAGACAGCGGACCATAATGTATTCTAAAAATGATTGTTCTGTTTTTATTTTTCTAAAAGTTTGCGTTTTCTGGTTTCTGTAAGCGAAATGCAGCCTGTGACTCTGGGCTCTGCTGTCCAGTGACCTGGGTGTGGGTTTCCCGGGCAGCAGGCGGCCGGAAAGAGGGCTTATCAGCTGTGGGTTCTTCTGCTGTGGACACTTAATCATCATCTGTTTTGTTGTTGTTTGTATTTATTTTTTATTTTTCTTAAATAACCTCAGGAAACGTAGAGACACACTGGAATAACCTGGCAAGCTCTCATTAGGTTCTCAGTCGGTCCTGAAGGGAAAAGTAAAAGCTGGAGTGGGTGGGCCGGCTGGCTTCCAGCCCCTGGAAACAGGTGCTTTCCTTGCCTGCCTACTGTTGCCGAGCAGGTGAAAGGCTGCAGGAAGCCTTCCGTGTTAGCCCGCATTTGGGAGGGTGTGGGAAAGGGGGGTCTGGAGCCTCTGTGGCCCCCTTCATGCCAGCAGGGGGGTTAGTCTCCTCCAGCTGCCCCTGGTACTGAGGTTGGTCCCACTAGACATGCTGCTTTGAGATGACATGAGTTCTCTAAGCAATTCCCAAGGACCATAGCACATCTCAGAAATCTCAGAGCGTTTGGGGCCCTGGTAAGGCGGAGTCTCCCTTCCCCACAGGCTACCTGTACCTGGCCATCGAGTATGCCCCCCACGGCAACCTCCTGGACTTCCTGCGCAAGAGCCGAGTGCTGGAGACCGACCCGGCCTTCGCCATCGCCAACAGCACGGCGTCCACGCTGTCCTCCCAGCAGCTGCTCCACTTCGCGGCCGATGTGGCCCGGGGCATGGACTACTTGAGCCAGAAACAGGTTTGTCCCCGGGAACCTTGCTTTGACATCTTTCCTTAGCATCTCGCACTAGAATCAGTTTGAACGTGTGCAGTTTTCTTCAGTCGGCCTCTCTTCTTTAATTCCTCGTACACTCTCCCTAATTGCAATGTCTTTGTTACTGTTCCATCGATTTACATAGACAGTGGTGCTCAACACAGACGATACATTTATCTTGGGAATCTCACCATTTGGTGAGGTGCCTTAACCCATCTTCGCCCGAATAATGCTCAAGGGCAGAGGATTCGCGTGACATCAGGGAGACTCAATGACCTGTGTTTTCCCCCGAAATTTTCCCCCTGAGATTTGGCAGAATCCCCTGACTCTGGGCTTTAGAGAGCAACTTGAAGGGAACGGGATTCTTGTGACATTTAAAAACCCATTTTCATACTGACCTCTCATCTCTATGTCCCAAAGAGCCTGCCCCTGAGGCACTGTGCTAGCAATGAAGCGAAAGAGCGAATATGATGTTGAAAATACATGATGTTTTTTAAAATTTCAGTTTATCCACAGGGATCTGGCTGCCAGGAACATTTTAGTTGGTGAAAACTATGTAGCCAAAATAGCAGATTTTGGATTGTCCCGAGGTCAAGAAGTTTATGTGAAAAAGACAATGGTAAGTTCAAAACAGATGCTACGAAACCCTTCCCAAGGCATCCCTCCCGTCCTGATGTTACTGTTCTGCGGTGACCGGTGACCACGGCGTCGGACCGCGGATCCCAGCAGATGCCCTGGCCCAGCAAACCTTTCTCAGTTTTGATTCCTAAAATGACCGGCGGGTCCACATGACCATAAGAAGCCACTCTGACCTGTGGGCCAAGTGCGCACACATGCCGGCCTCTGGAGCAGGGGCTCAGGTCTGGACCCAGCCCGGACCCTTGCCTGGCTCGCTCAGAAACTCCTGAGGAGCCCCCACAATCTCTCTTCACTCACAGCAAACATAGCAGGGGTCAAAAATGGCATTTAACATACTTTCCAAATATAAGGGAAGTAAATTAAGGAGCTTCCTAAATCACAAGGAGGCCCTAGGGAGGAACTCACAACTTCTAAAGACCCACAGAAGATGTCCCTCTTTGCCAAAGGTGCCCCGCCCCCACTGACCCCATCAACCACACTCACTTTCACCTGATGTACCTGTTCTCCCAAAAAGGAATAGTTTATCTCAAGTCGAAAGTCCCGGAGAACCTAACCACAGTGTTAGCAGAGGAGGGAAGCTGGATTCTGTTGCCCACCCTAGAATCAGAAGGCCCTGGAAATGTCACCCCCTGGATGTTAGGACGAGGCCAGTGTCACCCCTCCCCCTCAGGACAGAAATCCAGGAGGAGGAGAAAGATTAGGAAGAAGAGGTTTACTGAAAACACACACGTGGAGGGAAAGGAGAAGGGAGGGCGCTTGGCCGTCCAGGGCGCGCACGAGGACGAAGGGGCTCCCAGCCTGCGCCGCCTGCCTTGTGTGGGCGGGTGCCACGCGCAGGCGCAGGGCAGATCTCTTTGTTCTCCAGGTTCCCCCCGTGGGGTGGCACCGGCTAGCACCGGGCAGACCCGTGGGTTTGGAAGTACGTGAAGAGAAGCTCGAATCTTATCTGGGAGAGGCTCAGCCTGTTTCACCAGCAGCAAGCGCCCCTCTGCTTTCCCGGAGGGGGGGGGGCGGACTCAGGGCATGGGGGTGACAGCTCCTTCGTCCTTGTGGATGTTGGCAGGTTCACTCCAGTGGCTCGCTGCCCCCGTTCTAGGCCTGATAAACATTACCTGGGCTCAGCTTTCCCGGACAGCTCCAGTTTTCATACGACACAGTGGCTCCTTTTACTTGGGGGCACCGAGTTGCCTCCGCGAGGCTCAGGCTTCAGTATTTATCCTCAAATGCAGGTTTCCTTTCTGTTCATTATGCTTATTTTAGTGGCTGACAAGATAACACAGAAACAATATTCAAGAATGTTTTGAAAAGGAAATGACCCAGAGTTCACCACCTTGACACACATTCTTTTCAGTTTTCACTTGGTGCCTTTCATAAGCACACGCGTTTTCCCAGTTACAGGCACAGCGGATACAACCACGCGCGTTTTCCCTGGTACAGGCACAGCGAACACAACCGCCAGGCCTTTCCACTCCCTTTCTTGATAAGGGTGTGAAGGGGGTCCTTTGGCTCTTAGAGACACCACACAGTCTGCCCAGGAGCTTATCAGCGGTCACACCTGAAGCCAAAGGCACCTCCCTGAGGGCTGTTTCCAGCCAGTACTTGTTCCCTAAGCTTTTCAGAATTGGCCCCACTCAAAGCAGATGTTTCTCTGCTGGGCTTGTCTTAAAGAAGCAGGTCCCACTTTGGCTCTCCCCTCCACTCCTGCATTTGGGTGATGTGGTGCCCTAGATGAGGGGGTGAAGGGATGAATACAGTGTCTCCCCACAATCTACTCTTTTTATTTGGATGCTCTCAGATCCCCAAGGCGAATGCTGATTTGCTCGGCATTTCATGAAGGGCAGGAATGTCTGTAGTCTTGGCGAGGTTAAGAGGAATTCCTAGAGGATCAGAGACTGTTCAGGGCTTATTTCTCCTTCCTAGTGGCAGGGTAGTGCTCCCTGGTGGCATGGGTCTGGGGAGGAAAGGTACAGTGTAAAGGAAGCCAGAGGAAGGGAAAAGGGATTGGAGAGGAGCAAGCTCCCTGCAAGGAGGGCGCAGTGTAGAAAGACACCACCAGAGGGCAGAGTGGCTACCTTGTCTGGGCTATTGTTGAAGTCAGATGGTCAGCCCTCATTGTACCTTAGAATCAGGTGGGGTCTATTTTTAAAAACACAGACACTGAGCCCTACTTCTTAGATATCGATTCAGTTGTTCTGGGGTGGGGCTCCTGCATCAGCTTCTGTGTGTGTGTGTGTGTGTGTGTGTGTGTGTGTGTGTTAATCCCAGGTGATTCTAATATGGGAAGTGTTGCAAACTAATATACTAAGTGATATAGGATTTTATTTTCATTGATTAATTACATGATTCCCTCATAATCGATTTAAAAAAAAATTCCTCACTAGAGGATACTTTCCCATTTATTTTCAGACAGAGTAGGAGGGGGAGAGAGGGTGGGACGAAGGGAGATAGGGAGAAAGAGACAGGGAGAGAAACATTGATGTGAGAGAGACACATCTATTGGTTGCCTCCTACACAACCCCAGCCAGGGCCTGGGACCAAACCACCACCAAGGTACGTTCCCTCGACTGGAATTGAACCCATGACTCTTTGGTCTGCAGGCCAATGCTCTAACCATTGAGCAACCCTGGCCAGGGTTCATAATAGATTTTTATAAGACTACAATGTTTCATGCTTTGTGCTAGGTTTGGAGATAAAATAAATCAGATACAGTCTTCAGTCTTCACCTTCAGAGAGCTCACAGATAAACACATAATGAACAACTGCAACAGTTAACAGGTGCTGAGGGCCAGGAAAGCACAGATGTCGTGAGAACACAGAGAAAGGTCCTTGAATTGAACCTATGGGAAATCATGGAAGGCTTCCTGGGGGAGGCCAAGTCCTGAGCTTTATAGTAGATGTCAAACGGACAGTGGAGCTGTGAGAAGAAACTGGGTGACCTGGAGAATGCAGTGCATATAAAAGCCTAGAGGCAAAGGAAATTATGAAACACTGGGAATTAGGTAATTCATTGTGCCTGGAGCATCATGCTGAGAAGAGGGAGAGTTAAAAATTCAAGGTTGAAGGAGGAAGCGGAGCTATGGTCTCCTTGCAGAAGCTTGAATTCCAGCTGAGGATTTGGAGCTCAGCTAAGGATTGGCATCTTGGAACAATCAGGACATTAACAATTTTTAAGGAAAGGAACCACATGGTTGTATTTGCCACTTAGAGTGATCACTGATTGTGGTGTGGAGAACAGCTCCTTAGGGGGTGAAACTCGAGTCAGGGAGATCAGTTAAGAAGTGGTTGTCATCAGGTAAGCGATGACAGTGGCCTGACCCTTGGTGACAGCAGTGGGGACATACAGATGGGGATAGATCCAAAACAAAAAAACGGAGATGTGCGCATGCAAACCAGTAATTAGCAGGTATGAGCTCAGAAAGGAAGTGAGAGCCAAGACACAACAGAATGTGGACAGCCCTTTCTATGCCTTAGCCATGAAGGGGAAGAGAGAACTGGAATGGCAGGTGGGGGATGTGGGGGGTGGCGTGGCCGTACTGGAAGGGAGGTAGGAATGTTGAGAATATTGAAGAAGTAAATGTGAGAAAGGACACTTCCATAATTGAGCCCTAAAGTACAGAATTACCATTCGGGATTTATGGGCAGAAAGAGCTTCAGAATATTGCCACTTCCCAAAGACCTGGGAGAGGACTGAGCATTCGGCCATAATCCAGGGGGTGGGGCAGAGCTGGTCTCAGGATGGGTGGTTGGGGAGAACCCTGCTCCAGTTTCAGGGGGCTAGGATCCCCTCGTGCTCCTGATTTTGCCCTTCCCACTGGCGACTGTGGCAGAAATGACACTGTTAGCACTTGGACAAATCCCTGGTCAGGGCTGTCTGTCTCTCAATAGGTTCATAGGAGACCTGGGTGGGGGGTGTGGTGGTGGTGGGGTGCTAGGAAGGGAACCCCAAATCAGACCAAATTTGAGGAAGCTAGGAATCAAATTCAGAATTCACACTCCCCAATATCGGGTCCACATCTCATTTTTCCCAGACTGGACTCAATAAGCCAAAAAATGAGGACAAGCTAGAGGGAGTCAGGGCCAGGCACCCAAAAGGGTGAGTGAGTGTCTCATCCCCAAACCCAGTGTAAACCTCACTGGCCGGAAGCTCTCTCCTCCACTGGCGATGCATCTACAACCTGTCCCTTTTGGCCTGACGTGCTGTGTCCTCCCCGGTCCACCTGCTCTTACACATGTGGGAGAACCAAGCTCAAATGTCCCCCCCTCTGGAAATTCTGCCCCCACCTCCTCCAGGCGCAGCTGTTGCCATCTAAGCCTTCCCAGGTTACAGGTCAATCTCCGCGTCTGTGTCCGTCTCCCCTTTCAAACCTCGGGGCCCTTGGAGAGCGCACACACGCCCACGCCCACGCCCACGCCGCTTTATGTAAAACTGCAGCAGGACCCCACATCGTGTGCTTGTCTTTGGATGTGAAGACACACACAGGTGGGCCCTGTACAGACAGCTCCTGAGTGCCAGGTTTCTCATGGCTGCGAACTCCCTGGGGACTCTGTGAGCCCCGCCTCGGGGAGGCGCCAGCCTTCCGAAGGGGCCTGTCCTGCCCATGTCCCATCTCTTTGCTCTCTGCAGGGACGGCTCCCGGTGCGCTGGATGGCGATCGAGTCCCTCAATTACAGTGTCTACACCACCAACAGTGACGTGTGAGTAAGCCCGGGGCCCTCTGGGAGCAGAGCTAGTTAATAAGCCAGGAAAGAAATTCAGAGAATAAAGGAAGCCACAGAGTGGACAGTGTTCAGGGTGTGAGTCATGGGTGGCGGCTTGGTTTCCTTCTGCTTGTCAAGGACAGACATCAAGGGCTGAAGGCTTGCTGTCCAGAGGAACAAGGGGCTGGCTCTCTGTGGCTCCACTTCCCAGGCTGAGCTGGTGTGTGGGACCCGGTCAGCGAGGCAGCCCAGCCGCTGCGGAGGGTCAGGGGTGGCAGGAAGGTCAGAGGGAGCCCCCCTCTGCCTTCCGCCGGCAGCGACCAGGCTAAGGCTGGCGGGGGGAGGGGAGGATTGAAACTTAGGCCATCTTACCACATGCCCCATTCTCAGGAGGAAAAACTGAGGTCCAGCGGGTGGAGGGGACTTGTCTAGGAGGGTTTCTTATGCTGAGGGATGAGGAGGAAGCTGGCAATCACTGTATCACTGTGTCAGCATTGTGAGCAAGGAGCCATCGATATGTTATGTCTGCATATCCCAGGTGGAAACTGTATCCCCACTTTCAGAATAACACACTAAGAGGCCTCAGGGGTTCAGTAACTTGTCCCAGGTCGCATGAGTATCTGGTGGCAGAGGTGGGATTTCACACAGATCTGTCGGACCTAGAATTTCACCTGCTCCCCCATTATGACCTTGCATTCTCTACCTAAGTGGGAGCTCGGCAGAGCCAACACTCTCCCTGTTATAACCCTCCCTGGGCCTATCCCAGGGAGCAGACATTCAACATGTTCTCGTCTGATAAAGAGTCAGTCACCCTGGCTTTGGGGGCAGACAGTGACGTTCCACCTTTTTAATGGCTGCTGATTGTCGGTTTCCCCATTTCTGGTCCGCAGATGGTCCTACGGAGTGTTACTGTGGGAGATTGTCAGCTTAGGTGAGTATCCATGTTTCTCTCCAGGTGAGGCTCTTGGCAAAGGGGGGCCTTCCTGTGCCCCCTCACTGTCCAGTCCCCTGCGGGCCAGTTATATGTGGTGCCACCAGATGTGACCTGCAGACGGAGCTTTGTGGGTTTCCATGGATGAGTGTTTGGTTCCCACGTTTCTCCATGTCTGAGGTCACGTGTAATTGTAACAACCTGGAGGCCATGAACTTTGTTCTAGATACGTTGTCCCTGCTTGTGCAAAGATGTCTGAGAGCTAGTCCAAGTTTATTTCCACAACTTTAAGATAGCCAAGTGAAAAACGAAATCACATTTTGAAGAGCCTGTGAAAATGTGCATGCCAACAGAAAGATAAATTTCATGTTCATCACAATCCCAGTTTTGAAATATTACACTTTAAAAAACTGGAAAGCCTACACAGAAGGGTTATAAAAGTTATTGTATTTTTTCTTCATGCTTTTAAAATATTTTCCAACTGTTCTACAATAACCATGTATTGCTTTTATATTTCAAATTGGACAGGAACTATTATAGATGAACTAGGAAAAAGATGTACCTTGCGGTACAGGGACGTACTGTGTGTGACAGACTTTGGCAGGACACTGGCACTGTGAGACCCTGTCCAGCTTTGAGGAGCAGGGGTGTACACCCCTTCTTTCTCCCAGTCTCTTGGCTTCTGAGCCCCTGGGCAGAAGACTCTGCCCTCTGCACCAGGCGGGGTGAGGGCAGCAGCATCTGCTGTCTTTCAGGTGGGACCCCCTACTGCGGGATGACGTGTGCGGAACTCTACGAGAAGCTGCCGCAGGGCTACAGGCTGGAGAAGCCACTGAACTGTGACGACGAAGTGTAAGTCAGGCCTCGGCCCTGGGCCCCATGATGTCACCCTCCCTGCTGCGTGTCTCGTGGACAGACGGACTCCAGTGAAGGAGTGATCTCACACATGCACATACATGTATACCTACGTGCACATGCATGCACACACTCATGGAGGTCACAGACAGCTAGAAATACAGGGGTTCTTTAAAGTACGATGGTTACCCAATGGGCAGGGAAGAAGAGCGTTCCAGGCATAGAAACCCAGGAGGAGTTTAAGGTGGTGATTCTCGGGAAGGTGGAAATGAGGAAGGACAGCAAATGCAGGAAAGACCTGAACTAAACTGATGAAATTATTCACAAAAAAGTAAATGTGTGAAGTCTTGAGATGAACTTTGGGGATGGCAATTGCAGAGTTGTTTCATTAAGGAAGATGGATTTTTTTTTTTTTTTTATCCTCACCCGAGGACATTTTTCCATTTTTTGTTCAGATAGAGTGGGAGGGAGAGAGAGGAAGAGAGAGTGAGAAACATCGATGTGAAGGGACACATCGAGTGGCTGCCACCCGCACGACCAACCAGGGCCGGGGACAAACTGCAACCGAAGTACGTGCCCTTAGCGGGAACCGAACCCGGGTCTCTCCGGACCGCAGGCCGACACTCTAACCGCTGAGCCAAACTGGCCAGGGCGGAAGATGGATTTTTATTTGTGGAGTTTTACGTCTATAAATATTCCTTTCCAGAGTAAGAATTATTCTGAGGGGAAGAATTACTAACTTTGGTGATACCAGAATTCCCACAAGTCACTTGAGGGAAAAGCTGCCTAGTTGGCATAATTGGAAGAGTTGAGTAAATCATTTACTGTCTGAGCTGAGCCCCTTCCAAGAGTGAAGGAGGGTGCTGTTAATTACGTCACTGGTACAAGAGACACAGACCTCTTCCATCCGGGGAGATCTGGATGTACCCGGACCATCACTGGACCAAGTCTCCAAAATTCTATCTTTTGAGATTCAGTTCATGATTAGTGAGTGTTTTCCATGGTTATGAAACTTCCGTTAAAGCTCACACTGTTCTAGGACCCGTGGCTCCCAGGGCCTCTACGTCAGGGTCCCCGCAGCACTTACTCAGTGTGTGAAATCTTGAGCCCACTCCCAGACATTCTGGTTCAGTGGGTCTAGTGTGGGTCCCCAGAGTCTGCATTCTGATACTACAAGTAGTTCTGGCCACACTTGAGCAAGTACTGCCTTGGACCAGGGCTTCCCCAACGTTGTGTATGGAATGTGCAAGACGTAAATGGACAACAAGGGGAAAGGAATTCTGTGGTGGATTATGTTTCAGAAGCGTCATGACGAGCTTATCAAACAGGTTGTTTGTTTGTTTTTAGTGACAGGACTTCTCATGATTTTACTATGCGGATCCCAAAGAGGGAGAGGCAGTGAGTGGCACTGGGCACATTTGTTTGAGCTTGAAGCCATTTTTAAAAAATGAAACACTAACATTTTGAGAGATGTAGTATCTCAAGGAAAATGCTGCCCCAGAAACACAACTCAGTTCTTTCCATATGGTCAAATAGCCGAGGCCAAGGTCCTGCAGGAATGGTACCCAGGGTGGGCGCTGGATCTCCTGGGAGAGGAGGGGGGATTGGGGAGGGAGGATGGGGGCTCACGGGAACTCCCCAGGTGCGGTACCTGTTTCCTGCTGGCTGAGCTTAACGACTGTTCTCTTTCTCCACGCTCTGCACTTGGCCATGCCCAGGACTGTGGCAGCCAGAGAGTTAACCCTTTAACCCTTTGTTTACAAAGGTATGATCTAATGAGACAGTGCTGGAGGGAGAAGCCCTACGAGAGGCCCTCCTTCGCCCAGATCCTGGTGTCCTTGAACAGGATGTTAGAAGAGCGAAAGGTGAGTAGCGACCCCTCACGTGCCTGGGGTGGGCACAAGAACAGGGGATGCAATTTAACAGCCCGAGGTACTGTAGGGACACAAAAGGTGTGGCCCCACCTCGGAGGAAGTTACAATTTCAGAGGAAATAAGATCTCTATACAAGATACAGTCACACACCGAACAACATATCAAATTAGCCTGTTTGAGTTTGAAGGAATCTTAAATCTTATCAGTCATCTCGCCTGACCCTTGAATTTTATAGATGAAGGCACAGACTCAGAGGTGAAGGTGACTCACCCATGGGCACGCAGCAGGTAACACTAGAGCCTGGCCCACAGTTGCCATGAGGAGGGCCAAGAATTCTGTAACTATTTCTAGAAGGTAGCTGGCTCTATGTATGTGGAGTTTAAAGGACTAATCTAAGCTAGGGAAATGGATTTTGAAACTCATCAAAACCCAAGCGGTGATTAGACCAGAGATGTGGGCACAATCACACGTGAGCCGGGACATTTCAGAAGGGACCCACGAGGGATGCCGTGAGGGGGAAGCTCAGAAATGCCATCTTACTGGGAATAAGTCGGGATACATTCCAGACAGGAAGTTGTCAAATACAGCAGGAACCGAGGACAGAAAAACGTCCCCCAAGCACCTAGTGTTTGAACCAAACCAGCCTGAGGACACCAGTGTCACTGTAACTGCCCCTGTGAAGGCCTCTGAACCCCTCTTACTGTTCCAGACCTACGTGAACACCACGCTTTACGAGAAGTTTGCCTATGCTGGGATCGACTGCTCTGCGGAAGAGGCGGCCTAGGATGGCCCCTCATCATCTCTATTCTGCTTCCCCTCGACACCTGGGTGCCGAGACAGCGAGCCAGCCCCTGCCGAGAGAGGTGACCCAGAACACTGCCGCGTACAGACTGCCGCACGTCTGGGACGGTCGCCGCACAGGCCCCGTGTGCGAATCCGCAGGGCACCCGACTCTAATGGAACTGTACATACTGTTGAGTAAGAATGTGCTGGACTCAGAATGCCTGTTTGCGGTCTCATAGGCAATAATATATTTTTCTAAATATGTGGATTTTAGAGAAAGGTGTGAAAGTACAATTCCTGTAATGCATAACTCATTATTGTCCTAGATATTTTTGATATTTACCTTTTATACTGATGCTGTACAGAAGTCAACTGTCGTTAACCAACCTAACACTGACCCTCACTGCACAGGTAAGAAAAGTGGGGCAGTTGTTTGAGCATCTTCACAGGTTGCCATGGAGACCGGAAGCTCCAGGTGATGTAAATAGACCCTGCCCTCTCCTCCCTCCCTGCAGAGTCTATCCAGTCTCACTGAATCATTCGACAACTTTGGTCACACATTTCCAGTGCCCACCTGTCAGTCCAGAATGTCAATATCTAAACACAGACTGAAATCTCAGACATGCATAAATAAGTTTAAAAGAGAAATGCATGGAATTCATTGTTAGTTTCTCTGGTGACATTGATTTGTGTATTTGAAGAAATTAAACTAGGAATCCTGGAGTTATATTTGGGAGACATGTGACATTTATCATGTCAGATTAACATACCTAATGTATTGCACATTGTAAAAAATGTTTAGTTTGGACCAGTTGTATGTTTACCATTTATACTGTAGGCACGTGTTACACTGAGATAATGTAGTAAGTGAATAAATGTCTTGCCTACCCACTTTTTTTGTCCAGGAATGTGTCTCAGAGGTATTTTCAAACGTCTCATTGGTTCAAAAACACCCGACATTGTCATTCTCTGACTTGTCAGTAATGTGCATGCAGAACAGTTGCTGGGAGTCTCCACGAGGCACAGTGTGTCGAGCTCACAGGTTGGAAACATCTACCAGTGTCTGTCTAGTCCGCCCTCTCGGACCAGAGCAGCACACCCCGGGCAGAACTGAGGACTCAGGGTCAGTACTGGAGTCCCTCCTAAGTGGGTTAGGATGTTAAATAGTCAACATACCACACAAAGGTCCATAGTCCTACCATCTAATCAACCCTGTGTATTCAGAAATGATGACCAGGAAACAACTTATCCCAAAGGTTCTTCATTTACAATAGCAGATTCAAGTGGTGACAGAGCAACAAACAAGACTGCAGGTAGGCCACTTACTTGATTAAATAACTAGAAGCTTGAATGAAGAGCCATTGACAAGAGGTCCAAATACAGTGTATCCTTCAGCAACATGGGGGGCGACTAGGGGTTCCGACCCCTCGTGTCATAGAAAATCCACGTATACTTTTTGACTTCTCCCCAAATAAACAGCCTACTGTCCACCTGAAACCTCACTGGGAACATAAACAGTTAACGCATGTTGTATATGTATCATATACTGTGTTCTTACGATAAAGTTAGAGAATATTTTAAAAAGAATTATTAAGAAAATCATAAGGAATGAAAAACACACAATCTTTGTTTAAACAAATCCACATGTAAGTGGATCCATGCAGTGCAAACCCACGTTGTTCAAGGGGCAGTTGTATATATAACAGTTCCTTTTGCTTTTTACCCAAAGTAGGTAGCAGTGTTCCTGACAGCTCCTGGTTTGCATGTGCACCGAACTGAACAAGAATAAAGGTGATCTGGAAATGCAGATAATTTTGCATATGGTTTTTGAGTGCACAGTAGTTTTTCCTATTATAGTTGAACTTTGATTATTTAAAATAATTAAAAATTACATTATTATGAATTTATCTCACATCAAGCAATGACAAAAGAGATAGCTAAGTACTTCTGGTAGTAAGAAAAAGGTATTCAGTGATAACTAAGAAGTTCTTGTAAATTCAAAATACCCAGGCAGCCATCCAGAGCTGTGCTTCTTGAGAGCGTATCAGCGTTGGAAGGCCAGCGCTGTGACTCGTCACCCTGTGACTCGTCACCCTGTGACTCGTCCATGCCGTTGTCAAAGAGACCGCTGTAGTCTTGTAGCTTGTTACCACATTAACATCAAAGATCCACGGACTTTTACTCAAAAGGAAATTGTCAAGTTGAGAAAAGGCATTTAGTTTCCACATTATCGAAGAGCAATTGTGAAAGAGCTAACTCCCTCAGAGATTAGACCATCAGGTATTAGGAATATAGACCAGAACCTACTGTGTAAAATATCCATAGATACTCCCTTTTAAAAGATATCAGTGAGTTAGTTGTTTGTATGAATTAAAATCAACAAACGGGACACCAGTTAGAATAAAAACACATTCCACAATAGCAAATGACTAAAACTCCTACGCTAACAGGGTGCATGGAAAAGTTTACATTTACTTCCATATATTTTGTAAGGAAAACCTTTACTTCTGTTTATATATAGGAGCCCTAAAGTAAACTGTTAAAACGTCTCTAACAAAATCATAACTCTGAGAAGCAGGGTGGTTTCAGGTATTTAGAGAGGAAGAGAAACGTAGGTAACCTGAGAACACTGACCACCAGGGACGCGTTCCTTTAACGGGAAGCCTCAATCCACTGTGATTTCCACGCTACCTGTGAGGGCGAGTTAAAAACTCAAACAACTGTATTCCTCCCCCACCGCCCAGTCGCAACTTGAGAAACCACCGTGGCAATTTAACCTTTAAAATGTAATAAAGAAACCTCAGTAGTAATCTTCCTCCTCCTCTCTCTCTCTCTGAAACTGTGCAGAAGCCTCATACTGCTATTGACCGAGCTCTAGGCGGGCAGGGGAGGCCAGGGGTTACTGACGCCACAACGCAGAGACTGAAGATGTCCTTGGGCACAGTGATTTCTTCTTCCCTCTCAGGCCCTCTTTTACCTTCCAGACCACAAGTTCTGTGCAGGAGGCAGCATTTTGACCTGAGTTGTGACCTCCAAATGGCAAAGAGTATAAACAACACATTAGGTAGAAGATGGTTTCTTGTGATGTTATCCACGAATGTTCTCAAAACAAAGCCCTGAGCTTGTTTATAACAAAACCGATACTGGCCGCTTACCAAGACGTGATTTTTAACACCGAAAACAACCCCTAATGGGTGCTTGATAAATTTTTAAAAATAAATCTAGAGTAAAAGATCTCCCTTTTCCCGAGTAGCATGCCAGGGCACACGGCCACGACCTCGCTGTGTTTGGATGGCATGTCGGTACCTTCTCCATGTGCCTCTTCCAGGGAGACATATAACAATGAAGTGACAGCTGTCCCCAAAGGACAGGGGTCAGCAAGAACTGGAACTGTGGCATGCTAGAAGAAGTACACCTCTCTGAACAAAAGAAGGGCATTGGATACAAGATTACATGGCTTTAAAAAGTAGATGAAATTTACCCAAAATATAAAGTTTATGGCTCCAATCAGAATAATAAATGATATCAGAGGGTAGACAGAAAAATCCTGTGGTCCATACTTCTAAAACGGTATAATTTTTCATTCCTTTCTTTGTGTCTTACTCTGAGAAATGATGGTATATAACTTTTAGAAGATTTGGTTTTCATAGGCTATTTTTTGTTGTTAAGTGAAATATTTTTATGCCCATGGTTCAAGATTGTTTTTAATAGAACACATTACTAATTTTATAGTATAATTTTATGGGAATTCTTCCTGGGATATATTTTTAACAAAGCAGCTAATGTAACATAAAGACCCTTGGCAAGATGGTCAATTAATGTCTAATAGACATAGAATCAGAGAATAAAGAACATAGGATACATTTTGTATTTTGTATAGTTAATAAAAGAATCAGGGACCATCCCATATATTAAGTATCTTTAAAAACAAGCCATTGAAACATATTTTTAACATACTCAAAATGAACGTTCCTGTCTATCTTGTACCTAGCAGGGTCTATCTGGGTATCATGAATGTAGAGAGCGCTGACCTCCGTTCCAAGCCCGCACTGGTAAGCTGGGCATATGGCAATGCCACCAACAGGGTAGTTGGTGGCAGCACTTGATTAACTTGCTTAAAGTTGGGTCTATTTCATCAGAAAAAACAAGTTCCGAGAGCAAGACATACCAAGCCGATGTAAAGCAAGCACACATAGAATGACGCGCTGAATTTGAGCTGTACCCTAACAGCACACACATGCTTTGCCCTGGGTGAGATACCTGGGCCCAGTCGACTTTAGAATCTCCTTTGGGTTAATGAGAAGCTCATATGAAAAGAGGTAGTACTTCGCAAAATTTAGAGTGGAATTAGATCCATACCAACTCAAGCTGTACACATGAATTCAAAGGCTAGCCCACATGCTGAACATTACCTACCACAGTTCTCGGTGTAACCGGTTTGGATGCCTGTGGAACACGCAGGACTAGCCCAGCCAGTCGGTGTGTAATGCTTTTTACACTAGCAGATGCTTTAGACTCCATGGATTTAGAGAACCCATAGAAAAAACCCGCCATTAGCATTTCATTCTGAACCATTCTTACCATTATTCTGAATGATTCTGTGCCGGTTGTCAGCCACTAGGGTCTTTTGTGAGGCAAGCCCAGCCGATGAGAAAACATCACTGTTGCGTCCACAACAGAAGTATGAATTAACTGTCAGATGAAAGAAAAACCCATCAGAAGTTCTTCCCAAAGTATAAAGAATGACAGCGCAGCAATAACAGTAGCAGAAGCGACTAAAACGCCAGCAAGCAACATAGGCCAGTTGTGTCCGTTACTGAGCACTTTACGTGGATCATCGACTACAACTTGCCCAGTAAAATAATATTTTATGTTAGGCCTTTTATTGTGTCTTTTTTACAGCCAAGGAAACTGAGGCTTTGAAGAGGTTAAGAAAGTTGCCTAAACTGAGTGAGCAGAGTAGGAGAAAATGAAATGGAAGCAGTTACTTCCGAGTCCACG